CTACACTGCTACACTCCTACACTGCTACACTCCTACACTGCTACACTCTTACACTGCTACACTCCTACACTGCTACACTCCTACACTGCTACACTCCTACACTGCTACACTCCTACACTAGTACACTCCTACACTGCTACACTGCTACACTCCTACACTGCTACACTCCTACACTGCTACACTCTTACACTGCTACACTCCTACACTGCTACACTGCTACACTCCTACACTGCTACACTCCTACACTGCTACACTCCTACACTGCTACACTCCTACACTCCTACACTTCTACACTCCTACACTGCTACACTCCTACACTGGTACACTCCTACACTGGTACACTCCTACACTCCTACACTGCTACACTCCTACACTGCTACACTCCTACACTGCTACACTCCTACACTCCTACACTGCTACACTCCTACACTGCTACACTCCTACACTGCTAAACTCCTACACTCCTACACTGCTACACTCCTACACTGCTACACTCTTACACTGCTACACTCCTACACTCCTACACTGCTACACTCCTACACTGCTACACTCCTACACTGCTACACTCCTACACTCCTACACTGGTACACTCCTACACTCCTACACTGCTACACTCCTACACTGCTACACTGCTACACTCCTACACTGCTACACTCCTACACTGCTACACTCCTACACTGCTACACTCCTACACTCCTACACTGCTACACTCCTACACTCCTACACTAGTACACTCCTACACTCCTACACTGCTACACTCCTACACTGCTACACTCCTACACTGGTACACTCCTACACTCCTACACTGCTACACTCCTACACTGCTACACTCCTACACTCCTACACTGGTACACTCCTACACTCCTACACTGCTACACTCCTACACTGCTACACTGCTACACTCCTACACTGCTACACTCCTACACTGCTACACTCCTACACTGCTACACTCCTACACTGCTACACTCCTACACTCCTACACTGCTACACTCCTACACTGCTACACTCCTACACTGGTACACTCCTACACTGCTACACTCCTACACTGCTACACTCCTACAGCAGCAGCAGCGTTCTTCATTACGAGGCCCGCGGGCTCCACTGGCGGCCGCTGCTGACATTTAGTGCGCCCCCCCCCCGACACCGACAATACACGGCACGTGATAACATCGTGGCTGCTGTCAAATCCCCAATGGTTTCAAATGTGTCTTATCGGCGAAAGTGGCCCTCCTCTGAAAATTAGGGAAGAACGCTGCCCGACAAGCCAGCCACCACCACAATTGGCAATTGCAACTGATAAATACTGCAGACAACGGCCTTCAATTTGATAGGCATTATATGACCAAAATTTCTATATTAAAGTGAATTGTATATCGTAACTATCTGTTTTGTATGCGTAATATGTTCGATTGGTGTTTCCCACTCGAATCCCGCCAATGTCTCAACTCTTAACGCCCCGAACGTTAACCTTGCGTCTCTATATCGCCAGGATTCCTTGAACTTCGCTCCCGCTCTGCAGTCGCCGGGTTCAGCCACCCTCATTCCCCTCCCTTGGCTCTGATTTACGCAAAATGCTTTCTCTCTCTCTCTGCCTCTGCTCTCCCCTCTCCCAGAACCCCTCTCTCCTCCCAAAACCCTTCTCCGTGCCCCTCCCATAGCCCCCTCGTATCCCACTCCTGTCCCTCCCCACAAAGAATTGTAATCCTATGTCTTACACTCAGAGGTACGGAGAATCGGGGCGACCGTCCCGGGCCCTGCGTTTGGGGGGGGGGGGTGTGGCGTACTTCGACCTCACGGTGTCAGATATAATGCTTCCAGATTAGTTTGAAGGCGTAGGAGGGTCCCCACACGGTGGGGTTTGTCCCGGGCCCTGCACCCCCACCTATGGACCGGCTTTGCTTACACTAATGAGTGCAACACAGTTTTCTGCACACAAATGATCTCCCTCGTGTGTTCCCTCCGCTCATTACCTCTGCTTTCACCTCTTTCCCTCCCCTCTCCGCGAATCCCTCATTCCGCTCATTATCCCGATGCTCCTCTTCACCCTTTCCCTCGGGTTATTACACTAATTTTCTCCTGTAATAATGACCACAAACACAACCGTAGCAACTGAGCTAGAAGTTAAATACAATAGCTTTCATATAGCAGTTAACTATTACAATACGACGGAAATTACTTGAAAACCTATTGCCACTATCATGTATCAGATTGCACCTGTTAAGTATCAATGTACTGTACGAATTATATTTAACGTCAAATCAATTAAAGAAAGCAGAGTAGACTGCTTGCAGTTTGACTTGTGTCAACCACACAGGAACACATTCTTTGATCTAAACGTCCAACTCGGTCCCTTTCAACGATACGTCCTGTGCCCAACACGACGCTTCTGCTGCTGCTACTGATGTGCATGTCATGCAATTGAAATGTCGTGCAAGCCATTTGATGAAGAGTGCAACGATGTATTTGAATTGTCAAAGTGTGCCGTTGTCAAATGAAACAGGAGGTGGCGTGACCAGTCATGCGTCTCCCCTCTTTGCCACAACTCCCCCCTTGCTCCAAGGTCGCCACCTCGGCTGGTCCGTTCCTCGCGTCACCTGGAGACGTGCACGCGGGTCGCTGCCGGCCTCGCATTGCTCACCATGGCGCTGTGGCTCGGCTTGCATCACACGATCAAGGATTCGGGACGTGTGGATGAGCAGCTGGCCGGCCATCACCACCACAACCACGAAAGTCACCCGCATGAGAGTGATGTCACTGGGACGCACCACGCAGCCCAGGCCAACGTGACCCCAAGGACAGATTTCCACCATGCGCTACGACCTCAATAGGAACATTATGAGCACGTCCCATGATCATATTTAATTGTGCGTGTGTGTGGGCGGGGGGGTCAATATTTACATGCAGTGATTTTATTATTGATGGGAGTGCACCATGGTCATATTATTATTGTTTGTCTCCGTGGTTGCCACCTTTATTTGGATATTAAATGATGTTTGTACGACCTGGCTTTCCAAGTGTCTTGCTACGGCGGCCGTGGAGCTTGTTTTGCGGCACCAGTGGAGGCAGTGGAGCTGGGGCCAAAGACGGGAGGAAGGGCCTTCTGGTGCCAGCAGCACGCGCCTCAGTGAAATTCGCGATTCCTTGCCACATCTCACGTTTTTTTTAAAGGGCACCCCCGGTGGCAGCTGTCCTTGTGTGGCGCAAAGTGACTCAGCACCTGGCCTGTAAGTGGACATTCATTTGTTAGTGGGTGGCGACTGCTGTAATGTATAATTAAATTGAGTTATTTGCGAATACACTTTTAAAATTGGACCGCGATGCCAATACACAATAACCTACTCTTTTTTCATGACGTTAAGGTATCTTGAATGGGAAGCCGACGGCATACATGTATGGCTTATACACCCACAGTAATAATCAGGGGAGCCTGCCGGATTCGAAACGGGAACCTCTACAACAGGCAGTGAACAACCTAATCGCTGGGCATTTCCACATACGTATTACAATAACTGCTTTTTGTGTTTTAGTCTGTTGTCCTTCCCCTGCACCCCCGATTAGCACTGTTGGCTACGTACGGTGCGAAAGAAGTCCAACGTACGCGGGGAGGCTGGACGAGCTGACCGTAGCAGCGGCATGCCGACCGCCCGCCCCCACCACCCACACACACACCCGAGGCTCACGACTCAACCTGTCCTCCGCACGAGAGTTTTTATTTGTTTGGTTTTATTCCGATAGCCTAGAAGGTTAACTTGTCATCGGTTTCCCATATAACAGAGAGTGGGATGGGGGCATTGGGGTGAGAGTGAGCCATTGGGCCCCTGTGCTTTAAGAAGGGTGAGCTCAGCGTGAAGGAAACCCCGATGTAAAAATGATGGCTATGAAGTATTAGCCGTGATGCTATACTGAAACCTGAGCAAGCAAAGATACCCCATAGGTTAATTATGGCTGGAGATGAATCCACAGTCACTCTGGAATGTCTATCCCAGTCCCATTATGTAAGAGAATCTCGAAATGTGCTATTGCAAACTCATTAAGGGAAAAATTGCGTGGACAGGAGACTCAAAATCCCGAGTTCAGTGCATTGGGTGTTTCGTCGAGGTATATGGATGCCAGGGGAACCTACATGCAACCAGAATATAAATAAATAAAAATGGTGAGGTAGGCCTTGTGTTCCCTGGACCAGGCCTGTTTAGCCTAGTTTCTCTACCCAGGACCCCATACCTTCCCAGGCAATGAAACCTAGATGAGGTAGGCTTAGTAACCCTGGGACCAAGCCTGTCTCTGCCTCCAGCCAGCCTGCAGCCAGCAAAGACAATAAACATCTTGAATACATTTTTTAAAAAAAGGAACATTGGAAATGGATGTGGAGAAGGCCAAATGGTGAAATGAAGGACTAGATTAACTTGATTCTAAAGGACAAACCCCAGAATCTCACACATGTCTGTCCAGAATATATTCAACACAGAGAGTGACCACAGACTGTCAACATAGCCAAAGAGAGGGCAAAACTAATGACAGGAAAATCAAGATAATATATTAATAAGAATAATAGAATATATCTGTAGAATCCAGACTAATTTAAGGTGGACCCTATAAGTGGATGTCCAGCATACTGAAATAAATTAAATAGGTGAAAATAAAATTGAAATTAAATTATACGGAATTAAACTTTAACTTTACAACTAAACATGCCCATTTAATATTTACAATTTAATAATAAAAATCAAGAATGTACAATATTTTTTCTATCTACGTGACTTTACCGAAAGAACCAAATAATATGTATTATTCCGAGCCACCTTTTTTCACCAAACCCTCTTTGATACCAGCGATGAAATATAATTAAACAACCCCAATGACCGACACGGTGTGGGCAGGTCTTCATCCAGAAGTGGATCGACAAATTATTATAATCACTTATTAATAAACATTACACTCAATCACGTAACCGTTGACACCTCAAACACACAACGCGTGGATTCAAATGTGACACGCGGATATCTGAAGTGTGACTTTTTTAATGACTTTGCAAAATATTCCATACAATGAAGACCACTCACAATGTTTCGTGCCCAACATAAAATAAAACAACAGAGCGATTTAAAGTCTCTCGCTATTTGGAACACTGGCGAGGAAGGAATGAAATTAAGTTTCCATAACTTCTTAACACAGCAAAGCATAATAGCCCTGCTAGCACACAACAGTACGCACAATATTGGTAACTTTTAATAATAATAAAAAAGTGTCAGATTATTGCCATTTTATTCGTTGAAGTTGTACAGTTTAAAATGTTTTCTCATGCGCAAATGGTGAGAAAACAAAGGCAAAAGAAAAAGCAATTAGACGACTAGCGCGCGAAACACAAAAAAAACCTTGTTTAACCACAACAACATTCCCAGACTTGGTTTTTTTTGCTTATTAACATATTAGTTACAAGAGCAATGAAGAGACTTCTTAAATAAAGTAATAATAAACAAAACAAATAATCTAGAATCCGTCTGGAAAGGCTGAAACCGTATTCACCTCCTATTTCCCATAAATGGTTTGAACCACAGCACGAGTTTGTTTTGCTCTCTGGCATTGTGGGATAGACCGTTGATAATTGCTGAGTTAAATATCCACTTCAGAACCCCCACTTATCTGATGCTAGTTGCCTAAACTAAGTCTAAAGCTTTGATATCAGTACGGTAGTTGTACAGACAGACTTGAACACATGCAGACGTTACAAATTATGTGACCACCTTTACTCGAATCGGTCTTCATTGCTTTCAGCATAATAATTCTCACCAACGCACGTAGTGCTATATTCACAGTCCACGAATTGTGGGACAGCTCTGCCGTGTAACCATCGTTATAGCTTATTGAAGTCAGAACGTTGGTTTTAATACTAACAATAAACATAATAATATCTTGGTGAGCAACAACATTCCTCTTGAGGACACTGTTCAACTTGATGACATTAGCTCCTTGGCTTACAAATTCCAGAGCCTTTTTAACAGGAGAGTTGGATTACAGTACGAATGACCATGCACACTCTAGCAAACAGGAGTTATAATTGTCGTGGTTTTCTTTCTCGTATACACAAATGAGGGACGCTAAGAAAGTAATAGACTTGAACATGTTTCGGGCAAGATGACACAAGTGCTGTTGTAGGGCTTCTCAATTTAAATATAGCATCACCTCGTGACACCAGAGCTGTTCACTTTAGAATTCTCAAGACTTATGTTGCTATGTATAGAATAAAAGATATTGGCAGTTTTACAACAGTGACTTTAACCTACTCGTGACGGAACTCCAAAAACGGACATCCGTAAAGACATTTTTTTAATGAAGACTCTAGGCAGCTTTATTCGCGGAGCGCTATGTTATACATGGGAGGGGGGGTATTGCCAGGATTTCTAATGACGCTCTCCACTTGACCGGATGTCGACAGCACAGGTGCCTTGTGGAGATGAAAGATGAACCTCATGGGATGAGCCTTAATTAACAAACCAAATATTATTGTAGTGGGATATGAGATGATGTGAATGATGAATACTGTATAGTGAATATATAGTAAATACTTTTATATAGATATGCGTGGGTGAGTCCATGTATGGGTAGATTACTTTTTTAGTGTCATTGGTGTTTATATACATACATCACTGTGCGTCAACAATACGGTTATAGTTTTCAAATAACCTGCTAGCATGCACAGGACAGTTTTATTAACACATTTAATCTGGAATCTTCACAGAACATTTGAATGGTCATCTTAAAAAAAGAAGTATTCCTCATGTTGTATGCATGCATACAAACATCGCGGTATGTATATGTGCTTCGTTTTTTGGCAATTATATTTCGCTTACAAATATTAATTATACACTGCACGGCGTAATAGTGAAGGCTTAGTATTGCCTTCTAGTCAACATTGGTGGTTGTATTCAGGAGTTATTCACGCGTGCATTCTATGCAGGAGTCCTGTAACGTTTTCAAAGAGAATGCTCGGGACAAGCCACCCCCTTGTGGAGGATTCAGATCGAATGCAAATTTCATACGGAGTCATTCCTTACGCGTGATCACTTAAGTGACCATCAGTCAATAATATTTAATAGGACATCCTATCAGCTACCTGGCGATCATACGTGTACAGGTGTTGTAATCGCAGGACCCATGTAAATAATGGCTTACATGCATGACCAAACGGTTGAATTTAAACATTTAAATGTTAAATATCCTTTGACCTTCCATAATAAATCATAACAAACCTCAAACGTTGAGGGTAGAACGAAAATTTCAGTACAGATGTTGCCGATGAAACGCCAATTACTACTAAATATTACAATAGCACTGTATTATACTGTTGCAAAGTTGCTAAGAGAGCAGTGCTCACTAAAACCCCAATCTGCAATGGCTCTTAAAGCATTCATTTTACAAAATCTCACCACCCAGTTGGGACTTATGGCCAAATACAAAAGGAACTCACAACCACGACCTTCATGCCTCTGGAACTTCCGAGATTGGAAGACCGCACCTATGAAACAATACGCTAAGGTTGGCGGCGTGTGTGCCCAAATCACAAGCTATATAACTTTCAAAACGCCGCAAGGAATCCTTACACCGTCATCCCAACGGTCACTTTGTGTCGACTTTATCAATAGCCTGGCTGTGCACGATGTCGTCTCTTTCGTTCATTTCCAGGGGACAAAAAAATGTGTTTGTGGAAGAACACAAAAACACGTTTGCAGCGGTGCGTGCGGCGATTGGGGGACAGAGATTTTGTTTTTTTTGGGGGGGTCGAGGAAATCCTGTGAGGTGTGGATAAATAGGGTGGCGGCGGTGGAGGAGAGTCGCGAAATAGGGGCCGAGGATTTTGGAGCAGGACGGGGATGGGAGGAGGACAACAATATCACTTGACAAAAGTTCATGGGTTCAGCTTGTTACATAGAGTAAGGGGCCATGCATTTAGTACGCACGCATGAAGGGATGAAGGGGTTAACCCAAATGCGTATGCTTGCGTATGGTAGGGGTCTACTGACAATGTTCGTACGCATAGCAAACGAGGGGGGGGGGGGGCCTCGATAATAATTTGTCTACATTGGCCTTCAAATGAGTTAGATAGTCCGCCGGTGGACTATCTGTTTGCTTAAACATGTTAATATTATTAATCCTTGATCGTTTCTGCGTGGATTAAATATCGGCCGTTCTATAGGACTCGGGGGTGGAGGTGCGTCAAGCGTACTTACGCAGGTGGAGGGGGGGGGGTAAAAATACACGTGCGTACAGGGAGGGATCAAGTTTTGACAGATTTATACGTACCTAGTAAATGGATGGCCCCTAAAGCTAAAAATGAAAACAATTTATGTAACGTTCGTACCTATTTCCATCTTCAGTTTAATCGTTGCGTTTTTGAGTTTGTCGTAATTTTTTGTAATTTTTTTCGCTTTTGCTATTTTTATTTTTACATTTTTTATTTTTCTATCGCAGCGATCGGTTTCGTGGTCATTTCAAGCGTTTTGCAAGAAGCAAGAAGGTAACATTTGCAGAACGGTAAAGAACAAAGTCTCAGCTTTGTCAACAAATTTGCAAACAAGCTACGCAACAGCTACACGTCAATGCATTTGTTGTGAGTTTGGCTTCTTGTAAAAAAGAAAGTTTCGGAATCGCCTCCACAAACTTCGATATTACCAATGTCAACTCCATGGCTATCACAGCCTCCGACGTCAGTTTTTTTGAAAATACTGCATAAACAAAAACGTGGTCGAGTTTTCTCTAATTACAGCAGCCACTAGCGACCATAGTGTGATTAACTGAAGCTCGGTCTCTGTCGATAGCCATTCAATTATATTGGTCAAGTCTGTGAGACAAATTAAGGCTCCCTAGCCAGAACGTTCTTCATCATTGGCTCGGTCGATGGGACTGTAAGCGTTGCCGCTGATCATTTGGTTGATGTGCATATTCACGGTTGGGTTTATTGTGAACGACACAAAACAATCAAATTCGACTCCATTCTTTCAAAGTCAACCGCAACAAACGATCCTGCCATTTTCAAATGACAACATTGTAAAAATGACATGCTGTATATATTGCAATTCTACATGACTATGGGAAAACAACCCATAAAACCTTGCAAGCCCAATGGATAGAAAATGTGCGATGCGTGTGAACAAACCGAATTCAGTTACTAGTTTTGAAACTTAAAATATGGGGCTTTCAATAATTTATTGACCAATAACACAACTCAGCAAACAGTCAATCATGTACCCCCACCCACCAATTGGGATTTTCACTGGTGGGTCAGGATGTCACTTCATCCTATCGATCGAAGTCTTCTTCACAAGTTTGGTTTGCCTAAGAATGTAAGGTTGGGTCTGGTAAAAAAACCTGGACAATTTACTTGTGTGTGAGAACGTCAGAGTTGAAAGACTTTGACATTAATAAATGAAAAAAACAACAGTACCAAACATTCTAGATGTGGCAACGCTGATCAAAATATTTAACTGTGTTCCTGATGACAAGCCTGCTAATGGAAACCATATTTGTGTTATGCCAGCATTCCCGTAACATGCTGTAGCTGAGGCGATGCTTTTTTCGACGTATTTGCATCAAGAAATATATTACTTAAACATGTATACATATCAATGCCAGTCAAGAGATTTTTGAAAATAGGACACGAAGTTAAGACGTCAACCTCAGACTATTCCGATGATTTGTAAGACACGACTTCCCACGCTCTTCGTGTCACCAGTTAATTGCCGTGAGCTGTTACTGTGTTAATAATATGTAAGTCTGTACAGCGTTTCTGCCTTGCTCTCAAAAGCCACCAGACTGCCGCACACCTACACAAAGGGACAGTCTCAACGATGGCATGGCCTCCAACATCAGCAAACACAGCTTTAAGCCAGGCGCACGGCGGGCGGATCCGTTTCACAACCATGTCGCTCTTGGTAAAGCAACGTAGTCTCCTGCAACTGCTTTGTCCACATCGGAGCGAGTAATTCGCGGGCGTGCGCGCGATGAAATACATCGCTGCAGAAATAAGAATTTGCACTTGTCATGCGCCTTTCGCAAAGTCTCAAGGTGTCACGAAGAAAGAGGCGGCTGGCAGAATACGAGCCAAACGGGAAGAAAACTAATGAAGAAGAAACCTTATTATTATTGTTATTAAAAAAGATAGGTTGTTAGTCGAGATTTAAAACTGTCAGCATTGCCCCGGAGCCTGATCTCCAACGGTCGGGAGATGTACAACCGGGGAAGGGGGCTGGGGGACCACTACGGTAAATTCCCAATCACCCCAAGAATGTAACCGATATCGAGGTGTAACATGGGAGGGCAGCATCGGCGGATCTTATGGACCCTGCCAGGGCATTGTGGTTGAATTGGCTCGTGAATATACAGCGGAGCCAGCCCTCACTAGGCCTTGAATATGAGCAGCGTGATCTTAAATAACCGCTCGTTTAAGAGATGGAGAACCAACGCAACGATGCAAGAATGGGGGAGGGGGGTCTTGCAATGGTGGTCCGAGTAAGCGTCCTAAATCATTGAGCAGATGCTCTAAAAGTAGAGTCTATCTCTACATCAGGCAACCGGCAGTGCAATTGCTCGAAACCAGTTGCATATACATTGTTGGTTTGCATGCAACTGACCTGGCTTTACAGCAATGGTATTCAATGTGCACGGTTGCTCCGATCAGCAAATTGATATAAAATTCTATTATTGCCACCTGCTGCTGCTGCTGCTGCAGTGAAGGGCGTGCGCCATGAAGCTCTGGCAAATGACATGATATTGGCAAGATTGGTTGCTCACCGTTGAATAGAGATAAGAATGATGCACAAAGCTGGGTTTCTCTCCAATTTCCGATTGCTCTAGTCGCACATTCAACACACTGGCTATTTGATACAATTCCAGGGCATGATCATTGGCTGCAAACAGAAGCGTTGCTCCATCAAAATGCAAAGTCTACCAACAGCTAAGTGACACACTGGAAGATGTCTGGGATAATATACTTTAGAGCCACCTCAAATGTGTCTGTTCCATGAATGTATCTAACCCTCCAATCGTCGATATTTTCTTTAGCTGTGCATTTGATTGCCTCCACTCACCTCACATTGCTTACACCCTGCCAGATGGTGATGGACAAATCTATCGGTAAAAATCTCCTTTAGGACACACATTCCATGCTACTCTGAATGACTGGCCTGGAATCTTCAAAATGACTGACACAAATATCTGAGCCAACCCAGTCATCTCGTGGATTGGATATTCTTTCAGTAGCGCCGTCACAAAACGAGTGTTCGCCGAAGTTTGTAATCCACGTCAGTTGCCAGGGTCACGGTCTGCATTCCTCATGGATCACAAAGATGTCAATCGTGCCCAAAACATCGCCTGAGTAAGGCAGCAAATCCTACATCTCCATGAAACAAAACTCGCTGTGGTTAGGCTATCTGCGCGTTGTGGCTTTGAGCCGGATTAGCTCCAGCCCAGCAGTGCGTGGCATCCCAACGAACGACGTGCCCCAGGCACCATTCCTTTCCAGAGCTCGCAAGTCTCACGCAATTGTTCTGTTTCTCACTACGCTGCAGGCCATACCAGACCTGTCCAGAAAGGTGTGGGGGTGAGGGGGTAAAAGGAGCCGTTTTCACTGGGCCTTGTACGAATGAGGGCCTCACATCAGGCTTGTTTGCATGCCTCCAGGAACCTCTGGGAAGCCTTGACCGGTTCATAGTAAACGGCGTAACGGTACAGCCTGCAAATGCGATAACAGCTCCAATTTACCCCCACTCCTTGATAATACAACCCCCCCCCCCCCCGCAAACCCGTATCTCACACTGCCGCTAATCAATCTCACACCCACTGCTGGCCAGGCATAGGCTTTGCCGTCTCCCAACTTGACAGCTCTGCTTTTTGCCTTTCCCCATCTCACGTGGTATAGTCACTCACCCAAGGATGCCACAATGTTGCTGTGCAGCACTCGCCTAGTTTATGGGATAGGAAGGATGAGTGGGCGTGTGCGTCAGAAAGTATTGTGTTTAAAAAAAACAATACTTTTTAATATTTGTGCCTGTTTATAACGAACAATGTTGACTAAATTACGCTCTCAAAACAAAGCAAGTGTTATAATTCGGCCTCTCCTTGTTGACACATATGCTGAACTTCGTAAGCAAATGTCATCAGCATATTGATGCTGTCCGGATTTATATCTTAAATGAGACCTGGTGGACTAGGGCCAGCCTAATAATAATGATGATATCACGGGACCACTTCACGAGATCATGGAGAGCCACAAGGATAGAGCCAGTCCACCAGAAAGTTGGTCATGGAGATGAGGTTCAAGAGCTAACCTATTGCTCCAGGTTCAAAACAAAGAATAGGCCCTAACCTCCTGGGTCTGCCAGTTTCGAGCAAACAGTTCGACTTTAATACTGCGAACGGGAAAGGTGGCCTTGTCAGAGCGTCCTCCGTCAGATGGAGCCATATTTAAAAAAAAAATCATGCAGTCTGCCAGGTGGAAGGTAATGGTGATCGCCCAAACGCCGGTGTGATTTGTTATTGTCACGCGTCACTATCACAAACCAATTATCACGCTGATCAACTAAACCACGAGCTTGCTTTGCTTAAAACAAGAAACAAAACAAAAAACACATAGCGTAGTTTGCCACCACCTGAAGCCGGAGCGACAGCGTGCCACCAGACTTAACAATCGCCCTTGAGGATGCTGGTAATCAGTGACACAGACACTAGGTGGACTAGAGGCAGACTTACACACACTGGTCTGGTGAAGCATCAGAACAACGTGGGTAGCTTTTACCAGGTCTGGCAGCGTGGATCCCTCATCGCGGCGCGTCGAAGAGGTGAACGCATCGGACGGACGAACGTAACGGGTTGCATACGTTCGTCGCGTCGAGTGAGGGCCCAATTCTGAGACCAAAAACGACGAGGGCATTGCCTGGTTTTGAATCGCAGAAGAGCGCGATGGTCCCGCATAGAAACAAATAATTAGGTCGCATGCCCTTTACACCCAGCTGCAAATTAAATACGTTATTCAATATTGCAGGTCGCTAAATAACACGTAATTTGTTTATAACAGTAATATACTGTATTATACGAAACAATTATACTGTACTTGAATGCTTGAAGTACAAAGAGACCGTTTTGTTTAGTTGTGGGTACACACACACTGGCCTCCATGTTAGAATTTATTGCTATAATTGCCTTCTGGATCCAGAAAACCCGAACCAAATAATTTAGTTTGGTTTCCAAATAATACCAAGAAAAGCAATACGTGGCTGCTTTGCCCATCGTTTGCTGCCCAAGTGTTCTGACGACCGTGCCGTTCACTTCCCCAAGCAAATCTGAACGGTGAGGGCACAACAACTAAGCCACCCCTATAAAACAACAGACCGACCCGCAGTCCAAACTAAGCAAGCATGCGTTTACAGGGATTGTGCTACGGAGCGAACCATTTTTTCAGATGGGGGTGACGAAACATCGTTCTGCCCTCTTTCTAGCCACAGAATTTGCCAGCTGACCGTTATTCTACGTATCCATCCCTGAATTAAACACTTAAAATTCAGCTTTGGCCAAGAGCATGATAAAAATAATGAGGCTAAAGTAGGATGGGGGTGTGGGAGGAGTAGAGCGTAGAACGTCAACAATGTAAAAAGTACGTCACTCTACAATTGTTGTAGTTGGGCAGTGTATTGTAGATGCTCAAAGGGGATTGGTTGGTACCAAATGGGGTGGCAAGGCTACCAGTATCCACCATGGGCAGAAAGCTTAGCGCACATACTCTCTGTTCTATAGACACACTTCGTATTCATGTTCATATTCCGTCGACGATTCATTTCACATTCAGTTGTTTTCCTTCTGAAACAATATTCTCCATCATATTCAACACGGTGACCTTCTTCGATGACCTTTTTCGTTAAAAAAAAAACAACTAGCACGGTGACCTTGCTATCAGACATGTTCGTGACGTAATGTTAAAATTCTTTAAAATAATCATTGGTAGCATTTGCCACCCTAGGTGGTACCAATGAGCCATTTTTGGGCCAACGGCTCAAGGGCTATACGTGGTGTACGACGTTCGGATCGTTCCTGGGTGGGCACCGTGGGAATGTGCGGAGTCTTCAGTGGGGTTCACTGGAGGGAATATCTTTGTGGAATCCGATTGTATGTTCCGGCTGTAAAAGCAAACAAAAGAAAGATTAATATGCAAAGACATTCTGACAAATTGCATTCAAGTGACTTGTTAAAGCACTGTACACATTTAAATATAGTGTTCAAATCAGAGCTGGTGCATCCAATCATTTAAGGAATTGATTACTGATTATCTTGTTCGATAACTCTACAAATCCAATAACATGGAAATGTTTGGAATTAAAAGTTTCACATCTCCTCCCACTGTGTACCGTGGGACTGGAAGTAGTGGGCGAGGTTTCATTTGTGTCACGTGCACAGTCAGCTGTGTCACAGTGCCTCCAATCAGCACGGTTGGCTACGTACTGTGCGACAGAAGTTCAACGTACATACTTCCTCCGCACCTCTGTACGGTGCTTTAAGTGGTGGATGACATTATTAAAGGGGCCTGAGCCAGATGTGTTCTGGCAGATTAAACTTACTTACTCCTCTTCATCCCCTATAGGACAAAAGGCTACGATGGCCTCTCTCCATCTTTTTCTGTCCTTCTGGGAGATTAAAACACGTCTTAATTAGATTGAAAGTTTAAACATTTTTGTTGTTAAAGGTTCTTGCCCAACTTAATACATTAATTGAACTTCTGGAAGACATGCATTCTTCACATTATAAGACACAACGCATTTGTTTGCCTTATAATACATGGGAAAAGTGCATCTTAGTCCGTGGAACACAGTAATTGTATTAATGAGCTTTGGAGTTTGTGTGTTCTTGCCGTGGCCGAGAAGATTTTTCTCCGGGTCCCCTGGTTTTTCCCTCCACATTCACAAACATGCGTTTAAGAGCTGCTATAAATTTACACACGATCAGCCACTCCGTTGAGCTATAATTCGTGGCCAGGTCGCTTCTGAAAAAAAAAGCTACGCAGCCCAGTGGGCCCTTACCCGGTAAAATAAAAAGGAGTTCAGAGTATATTTCAGAGAGAGAGAGAATCGAGCTTGCGTCTCCGAGCGAGGTTCACCCAAGACTCACGGTTGATGCAGGTAATGCGCGGCTCAACCCACTTCCCGTCTGGCTGGCAGCGGATGACGGGGAAGTGCCTCTGGATGAAGCCCTCGCGGCAGTGGTAGCGGACGATGGCGTTGATCTCGTAGCGGCTTTTGAGTCGCCCGAATGTCATGGCGTTCTCCACGATGGGCGGAGGCCCGCACGACACTGCCAGGGTGGCACGCGCGCACGCACACGCGCAACACGCACGGCGTTAAATTGCCGAGAGCGGGAATGAAACTCCGGTTTCAACGGTTCGTAGCTACAGGAATCAAACATGTTTGTAATGGAGTAGGCTAGCTGCTGCACCACTGCTCCACACGGAGACACGCGCACGCATACATACAATGATTCGTTAAGAGATGTAAGTGGCATTGTAATACTTCTCATGCACAAAAGTGGAAAAGGTTTTGCGTTGGAGGCAAGGGATAAAGGTCCACCACGTTCTGGATTTGAACTCTCACCTGCTCCGCGCTTGCACGTGTAGGGGAGGTAGTAGTTGCAGGGGACGTCGTTCCACTGGCCGTTCTCGTGCCAGATCATCACCACGCAGTCCTCGCCATCAAAGAAGAAGCTGTCGGGTTGAGCTGGCCTCCAGTTTTCGTATTGCTGCGAAATGCGTTTTCAATAAAATTGTTGAATTTACAGGGATGGTAGTGGGGGGGGGGGGGGTTAGGATGATGGGTTAGGATGATGAATTTGCATTCATAGGGGCACCTGACTTAAATTCCTCAGCAAGTCAAAGCACCTCACATCACATCGCATCTCCATGCAACTGAAGGCAGAGGAGCGATCCTCACAACAACGAACGGAGCACCGGGCGGCTAAAATGCAGCAAGTTGGCACAGTAGGGGGTACAGCTGGTGCATCTACCAGTCACCTCACTCAGTCAACCCATGGCACCTGCTGGGTCTGTCCCATGACCTCCTGTCAGCGAGCCTTCGACACTCTACGTGGCCTCAAAGTGCACCTGGCCTGGCACAGGTGCAGTGGTGACGTCGCCGTCACGGAGTGGCGAAAGGCGCGGGTGTTGGTATTGGTGTACACAGCACTCGGCTGTAAGTGATTTTTTTTCCCTTCAAATTAAACAATAATCGAGACATGTATCAATTGGCCCACTATCCTTTGAATAACATCGTGTAAATTCCACTGTGACACCGTCGTGTACTGTTAGCGCCCCACGTTATGATCCTAGCTAGCCGGGTTAGAAGAATGCAGAGTGACATCCGACACGGCGGGCTTCAACAAATCGGAGTCTTTATTTCCTTAGGCAGGAGATACACGGCTCTTCCACTATTCCTTTCGCTCCAAGCGTCTCGAGCTTTCACGTCTCCCCCCACTTATGTATCCCTCGTGCCGCTTTCTCGAACGTTCCTTGACCCACTTTCCCTCCGGCCAATCACCTTCCCACTTTCTCTCAGGCATCCCAACCGACCTCCCTGTCAATCAGCCTCCATTTCCCGCTCTTTCCATTTTGTATTTCTCCTCCAATCACTTCCATCTCGCTGCCTCTCACCAGGCCCGTTGAGCACCAACCAGAGAGCTTGTTTTTACTTCCTGATCATCCGTGTCACGTGGTGTCCACCACGTCAGGTGAGCGCCGTTGTCAGTGACACAATCTCACACAAAATGTAAAGGATGTAGAATTGATATCAATACCGCCCACGGCACCGTGCGCAAATACTGCACCAGTTTAATGGTCGGGGCGGATAGGTGACGGTCAGATGCGTGATGTATGTGTATGCTTTAACTTAGCTATTTCAATGCTAAATTCTATGCTAATTCCATTGTCAAGGGGTGCCTCTGCGGATGTGTATGCTTTAACTTTTAACATAACTATTTCTGTGACCAGTGACAAGCTAATTATTCAGCCATTTCAATGCTAAATTATATGCTAATTCCTTTGTCAAGGCGCTTTGTTCCTCTCACACAGCTTAAAGGCCGTGATCTGAACGTGGCTCTTTCACTCCAGCGCTGTCCTACCAGACAGTCTCGTCCCTTCACCTGATGAAGGCCGCTTGTGTTGTGGCCGAAACGTCGTGAGAATATTATTGTGTTATTTTATTTGATCAATTTATTGTTTTATTCTCATTCTACGTGACTTTACCGAAAGAACCAAAGAAGATGAATCATTGCAGTCACGAAAGCTTTAAATCGAAATTTATGCGTGATGTTGTACTGAAATGGCTGTACCCACCAGGGTGTGTCCGTCGCTCCACCGGAAGTCATGTTCAAACATCTTGTCGTTCAGACCGATCCACTGGTAGTCCTGGGCCATCCCTGTCTCGACACGGCGACAGGCGGAAACAGCGACACGCACGCGTGTGCACGAGTGTGTGTCTGTTTTAGACACTTCACGTGGCCTCAAGGTGCACGTAGCCTGGCACAAGCGTCGTGGTGACGTCACCGCCCCTTAGTGGCGAATGGCGGTTGTTGTCTGTTTGCTAACACATCGCACCGCGTGCTCATTTGAGGTTGAGTCGACCTGGGGGAGGCCCAGGACCGGTTCACATATTTGTCCGCGAGCGGGAATCAAACTCAGGTCGTCGGCTTCGTAGCGGAATTTCCATCGCTTTTCTGAAGGCCGTCCAGCGAGGACAACTAGTGTCACGAGGAGACGCACTTTGACGAGCGGTAACAAGCTAAATTTGAACGCAATTTGCGATTTTGTAATGCAGGGAACCACAACAGTTGTATAATCGAGACCAGTCTGGTCACACGCGACGCAGTGGGTGGAGAGGTTAGTGCCCCCTCCCCTCCCCCCACACAATCCCGGCGACCCGAGTTCAATTCCCGCACGCTCGTACGCGCAGAGGCGCGCGTGCATGCATTTTGCAGTGGAGCTCAAAAAAAGGGCCTCACGGTTTATGAAGCGCTGCTCTTCGGACGACAGGATGCTGGCGAGGTGAGAGCCGTGCAGTCGGCAGTCGCGCTCCGCGTCCTCCCAGTTGCGCCGCTGCGGGAAGAAGTTGTAGCAGTGGCCCTGGAACTTCTGCCACCCGACCTCGCACTGCTGCGTGTCTGCACGACGAGCAAGACCCCGGGGTGTGGTGGTTGTCGGCGATGCAGGCGGCGGCAGGAGGGGGTTGAGAAGGGGACAAAGAGGTGGTCAGAGATGGTGGCACGCGACCGCACGCGCATGCCCGTCAAACACTTTTCATTGCCTGCCTCATTACAGACCAATTAAGACCTTGTTTTGGTCACCCCGTGCCCTCATAAATCTCAGCGTTCATCCTACAAAGCCCGTATCGAAACGGGCTGTCCGCCGTATGGACCTGAGAACTCAATGTCCCTGTACAAGAATACGGGGTAAACCGTGTGGGTTGACAGGTGTGCACACGTCTAAAGGGAGGCAGTCGATTTAATTGTTTCAACATTTCCAGTCACGGTCAAAAATAATAATCCCGCCCTCCCCTCCCCGTTGTTTGTAAAAATGAGTAATCACCCTGAATGCGCGCGAGGGTTGAGCGTGCTTCGATGGGACACTGATTGGAAAAAGCAGGCGTTGCTTGCTTCTGCTGTGAGGTTAGCACATGATTATGGGGGTACAACAATGAATTATTGAATCTATGCGGAGCTTTCAGTGTCACCTCTTATGTGTGGGGTTTCTCCAGGTACTGTATTCTGGTTACCCTCCCCCTCAACATCCAATGCAGGACCCCCGGAAACAAGTCTTTAGGCTCATTGAGGCTTTCCTGGATATATAATGGGCGTGATTATTATTACCGTATTCTCCAGATTATAAGTGACACTTTTCCCCCTGTATATGAGAGCCAAAGTTGGAGGGTGCGTCTTATAGTCTGGCATCTGCGTGTGTGTGTAAGACCACATTGGGAACCTAAGGCATTCCTGAAAGTGGCTATTGATGGAAGATCACGTTCGATGCAGTCTCTGATGATGCATTTGGACATCAGACTGACAAATCGGTCTCTCCGCCCAACCGACACCGCGGCCAAACGATACTACTGAGCAAACTCACCGAGCTCACACAAGGGGCCACCGTAGCTGGGCAGGCACAGGCAGGAGAAGGAGTGGATGCCGTCCACGCACGTGGCTCCGTTCCGGCACGGGCTGGAGTGGCACTCGTCAATGTCTGCAACACCGGCGCACGGCACGCGTTAACGACGGCGACTCGACCACGACCCGGCGGCTCTCGTGTGATGCAGAGAGAGAGAGACATGGACGCTTCTTCTTTCGTACGGCTGCTGACGTAGATGCAGAGCAACGACTACAATTTCACATTCAGGTGGTCAAGCCCAGACAACCGCGTCAGGGGTAGCACGCGGTGCATCGCTGTGACGTCTCTCTTCGTACTTGTCGTCGATCGGTGGCATTGCATCGTTCTACGTAGCACTACGGTCTGTTCTGGATGACCACGGTCGCACCACTGGACACGCCGAGGTGTGCATCAGGCGTCTGCATGTCCCATGGTTTTTGCAACTACGATTTAGGGTGGATCATGGGCTTCGTGGAAGATCAAGCCCAGTGATCCTTTTCGGTGAGTCTCGAACAATGTGTTTGTTTATGGGCACTGAGGAAGGGAGACGAGAGAGAGAGAGAGAGACGGAGATTGCTTGGAAAAGGTGTCAAAAGACGAGGAACAACGCTGAGATGGACGTTGGGAAAATCTCGCCAAGAGAAAGGAGGCGGACTGAAGAGGTCAGATCCTTCGCGACGGGCTCCTCGTTCTCGAGAAGGCGAGGGAGGCGCGAGCCGCGGAGGGTTTGGGCACGCATTGAGAAGAGGCGAAGAAGACGGTGTCTGAAGGGCTTACGGAGATGCCTCCGGTACAGGGCAGAGGGAGCAGAGAGGGTGGCACCCGAGAGCGCGGTGGGAGGGAAGCGGTGGAACGAGGTGCGATGACAGTGGACGTGACACGTGGAGAAAAAGGCGCGGAGCAGAAGCTCACGGAGGGAAGTAAAATCCGAGCAGCCGCCCCTCCCGCGCTGTAACCCTCCTCGTCTTTGAACTCACACCTCGATCGGTTTTTGTCACGTGCACAATCAGCAATGCGACGCAATATTCGGGTTTAACACCATCCACCGTGCAACCGCAGGGCAATGCGAAGTTCACCCTGGTGTGCGAGGTGGCGTTGTTTACAGATGGCGGCTAAACCATGGCTAGCCCGACGAGCCGCGGGGAGAACTGGTGCAGTGAACCTAAGGGTCCGGGCCCGCTGCTGCGCCAATGGAAACCCGTCCGGTGTGTTTCTCGATACCCCATGCACGTTATAAACACGTCCAAAGCGCGAAACGCAACACCACTTCATGTATGTTATTTTCTACTGCATGTCGCAATGGCACCACAGACGGCAGGGCGATCCATTCGGAAGCATCCCATGAACCCATAGCGAGAAGTCATCGTGGACTTGACATTATAATTCAAAGCCTCTGTACGTCTCCCACCAATCCCATTATAGCTATCGGTTCTGCGAACACTCGGCCGGTGGGCTTTTTTCCGATGTAGCCGCCGTTGTGTTTTATTGTTCACAACCGTCCAGCGATGCGTACATATACTGGGGTGATTGACATCTCACAGGGTCTGTGATGTGACTCCACAAAAAAGAATCCGTCAGGGGTTATGTCAGCTGAATGCGGTGGGGGGGGGGGGGAGGGGTGGAGCGGGTGGGGGGGTGACCGATTGTTCCACCTCAACCAATCCGATTCACAGACGTCTCTCCTGCAACCCGTCACGTCCCGCGCGAGCGCCAGCCAGGGCCAATGGAAATTAGTGGGGCGTCTGTGATTGGATCAGCGTGCACTCTGGGCAGCGGGTTCCGCCTTACGCCCTTCCCATCGGCAAAACGCACGCGAGGTGGCGCTCCATCACTGCGCTCTGGGGGAAAAAAAAAACCCCAGCTTGCTCAAACCGCATGTACTCACTCCTGATACAATTATACATCTCGGAGCTCAGAACGGGGAGAGGGGGACGGGTGGACAGAGCCAATTAAATACAAATCAGATTACATGATGGGATTTGCGTGCAATCATAGGCTGGGACCAACACCGGGTTTTAATCTATAAGCGGCTGCCTGGCTTTGAATGCCAAATCTCAGCAGGTCTGGCTCCGTGCCCTGACGCCCTGACGCAAGCCATAGCCATCGAAGCCGCTCAGCCAGTGGCAGTGCTGTCCAATAGCGGGGCCCTAAATGAACTTATTAAAAACAAATCTAAGTGTATAAAGCGCCCTTAAACAATCGTTCTCAGGGCGCTATGCATGGAAAAGGCGGGAAACAGCTTAACTTCTAACCGAGTAAAGAATGGATGCGGTTTAGGGTGGACCATGAGTGTTGAGTTCAAGAGAGAGGAAGCACCGATTTGGCAGGTGTCCCCCGTGTAGCCGAGCGCGCAGTGGCAGACGTGGAGTCCTCCGTCCGTGTCCGTGCATGTGGCTCCGTTCAGACACGGCACCTCGGAGCAGGAGCCCTGCATGGCTGTGGCAAGGAGTTCATGAGACACGGTGAAAGCACAAACACTGCCCGAGTTTCTCATGTCGTTTAGTAGTGCACGAGTGCACGTCAGCATTACCATTTTACTTTTTTGTAATTTCACCAGGTAAGGCCCACTGAGCTATACGGCTCCTTTTTTTAATCAGAAGCGACCTGGCCAAAAGTGATAGCCCAACGAAGTGGCTTATCGCGTGGACATTTCTCCCAGCCAAATACAATTGGGCGCACAGCAGTTCGGCGGCGATCGGCGGGTCACCCGTGGTCAGGTTCACGATGGGTCCTGCCACGTCTTCCAGGACGTCTGGACAGCGTGGAAGAGAAGGCCGAATATATTCTCGAGAGGCTCGCTTTAGCGGTGGTCCTTTCACCAGCGGTGGCGTGAACAACTAACTTCAGGGCAGTGCCTTTACCATTTACACGTACACGGGTAGCCCTCTGTCAGTCCACTGCTGGATGAGGGCCTCTGTGCGGGTTGGTAAATGTCAGGGGGAGTGCCGTATAGCAATAGACTTTGCTGCGTTGCCCTCCACTGCCCACAATGCCTATCGCATGGTGGTCACTCAGACAAGCACCATCCAGGATCTAACATGCTTAGCTGCCGAGATCTGGTGAGATCTCGGCCACATTCAGGGGGATTAGGCGCTGCTTCTCTTGGCAGTGGTGGAGAATTCTGATCATCTAATTCATAATCCATTTCATATATAATTCGAATTCATACTTGATGAAATACGTCACCAAAGGCACCGGAGATCGGAAACAACAATGGCAGCGGTTGCACAAACCTCTCAGAGTCTCCGAGATTGCTTCCTCCACCACTGGAGAGCTCTCCTCCGGCACCAGCTCCTGCTTCACGACCGCTCTCTCCGTCGTCACCACGGCGTCCTCCGCTCCATCGACAACGCCGTCGCGATCCTCGGCGACGCTGCCCTCCGTCACGCCGAGGGGTGCAACGGTCGTCTCCGGAACGAGGCCGGACGCAACGGAGGGGGGCGCCGTCGCGAAAACAACGACGCCGCTGCCGTCCTCGGGACTGGGTGCTGCTGGGGTGAGGAACGGCCCGGGCTCTACGGCGCTGTGGTCGGGGATGAGTAATTCTGGGACATCCGGAACGGGAGTGGATCCAGATTCTGGACCCTCGGCTGAGCTCTCGTTGAGCTGACCCAGAAGTCCTTCGACTGGTGGTGCAACGATCGCGACGACCTCCTCCTGCTGCTGCTGCTGCTCATCTGGCGTCGACCCCACGGTGATGCCGCTCGTCTCGTCAGGACCCAACGCCGGCGGGATCTCCGGCAGAGCGGAAGGCACCGCGCCCACAGTGGAGGCCTCTCCAGAGGCAACGCCCACTTCAATTTCGGATGACGCCTCAGTGGTTGAGCCTTCGGCCGAGGTCAACGGGTGCTCGTCCGAAATCCCCGGAACGAGATGCTCCTCTCCGTACGGAATGACGTCCACCGATGGGGCGCCCTCCACCAAGGTCTCGTTCTCCTGGCCGCTCTGCGCCAGGCCCCAGTCCTCCCCCGACACGGAGCCCTCCGTGCTGCCGCTGCCCTGCTTCATCACGCCCGTCTCCCCGAGAGACTCCGCAAACTCTTCTTCTCCCGACGCCACCGGCGCGAGCTCCGCCCCTTCCCCGTCTCCGTCCTTCCCCGTCCCGGCGGCGGCGGTGGTCGTGACGACCGGGACGACCTCCCCGGAGCCCGGGTAGAGCTCTCCGCTCTCGTCCTCCTCGGGCGGAACGGACTCGACGCCCGGCGTTAGCGACGGCGGCGCCACCCACTCCGGGTACGATTCGCCGGCGCCCGACGCCTCGTCCGGCGCGGACGTGGGCTCGGACGACGGCCGAGCGGGCACCTCGGTGGTCGGGCCCTCTCCCAGAAGCGTGGGGCCGGGGGGAGCGGGCGGGACGTCGCTAGGTCCCTCCCCCGACGGCAGGCCTTCCTCGCCGGGTGGCACCACGTGCTCGCTCTCGGGCAGCGGCCCCTCGCCAGATGCAACCCCTGCCGAAGAGAAGCGCCAGCGTTACTCTTTCGGTTTTACGGGTGGAATTAGCAAGATTTTACGCAGCAACATCGGGCCAACGTTGGCACGCGCGGTTGAAACTGTTGGACCAACGTGGGCCTCGACGTTCCATGTTTACTGGGTGCGCATTATGAGACGTATTAACATACTGCTTTCTCACTTCATCGTCACGTATTGTACAGTTTACGTGATGTTCATTTGTTGCACGAAGCGTGTGCGGCGACGTTTATTTATTCAGCTCACGGACAGACGGACGGAAAACCGCATTCGGGCGGCGGTGTCCCGGCGTCTCATCGGCCTCCTCGTCGCTCCGCATTTTTGTTCTGTTGTCTTAAAAGACGCTGGGCTCAGCGAGGCTCTCTGCCACATGAGCAACTCTCGCTGTGGTCCCGAGCAGTCAGAGTAGGAGGCTGCAAAGCCACGGACAAGTGCACTAGTGTTTTGCTTAAACCCATGTACGGCTACTCCCGTCCTGAACAAACAGTGCCGGGGCTTTTCTTAAGCTCATGCCCGCATCTATCATTGTCACCGCCAAACGCTGCAGTGGAAGCATAAAAACATTAAAACACACACAAAGAAACCGGGGGACTTGGTGGTGTTGTGGCTGGGTGGCCGAGTTGTCAACTGAGCCGGTGTTCATGGGGGTTATAGGTTGAATTATTGTGGACATTGCCAAGGCGATCCATCTGCAGTGCAGCGGACAATGAAAGGCCCCCATGATGTAATTCGCAAGAGCAGACTGCTCCATGGGAAATCCCAGACTGTGAAAATTAGTTCCAATTAGTGTGTGGCAGTTAGTGCCTATCGCCGGATATGTTGACTACCTCGCCTGGTATACAGGAGGTCGTGGGTTCGATCCCGACCTTGACGATACCTGCTGTAAATTTGGAGTTTGCATGTCTCTCTCTCCCCATAGTCGCGTGGATTTTTCTCCGGGCCCTCTGGTTTTTCCCTCCACATTTAGAGCATTCGGCTGCGATAAATTTCCGCACGACGATAAGCCCCTTCGTTTGGGCTGTCACTTGTGATGGCCAGGTCACTTCTGAAAAAAAGAGCTATGGTGGGCCTTACCTGCTAAAATAAAAATAGAAAACACGCGCACACAGTGACCGCATTAAAAAGAAACATCACCCCCCCCCCCCCCACCCAACTATGCCTTTATAATACAAGGGAAGAAGTGCATGTATTTTGAACACCAACAGGTATTATCTTGGAAGCAGCAACAATAATTGCAGAATAATGCCGGCTGATGTCATTTGTTTAACGGCGCAACGGTCCACTGATCCCTCTTTCGCAAGGGGCAATGTGAGGAGTGAAGTTCCGTTGTTGAGATGCAGCAGTGTTACTATTATTACTTCACTATTTCATTGCAGGCCATTTGGGAATGTAAAAATGTGGACTCTTGCACCAGCAAATCAGAAGACAGGGGAATCACTGCCTTCGAGATAAAAACGCCTTCCGGAGAATTATCGAAGATTCTCATTAAAAGCGTGCAACAAAGAAGGAAGTTCTGCAGAGAGTAGGCTACTATGTCAGGTCACGTGCAGGTAGCCGCAGCGCTTCGGACGGGCGACCAGGACGAATGGTGACTGGCTGCAACGGACGGGGTGATGGAGGGAACACTGGTTAGTGCTAGGGGAAGACCATGATCTGATGGACATCAACCACTGGACGGAGGTCGTCTCAGCTGAATGACGCAGCGATGGATAGATAGAGACACCGCACAGAGACATAGGTGAAGGATACGGTCAGGCCCCAACATCGCTTTGGGCCAAGAGATGATAAGAATAAGATACCGCAATGCCCTCCACTGTACACATCCCGCGTAAATACACAGAAGGCACGATTTGCTGTTATAAACACTTAACAGCACACACACACAGACACGGGGTGATTAAAGCAAGCACTGTGTGAGATTTTGTCGGGATGCAAAGTAGCTAGAGACAGACGTAACATTGCAATAATATTTCACTTGCTAATTTAGCGGCAGGGGTACAAGTGGCTCTTTTAAGATGGATATTATGTTTTTTTTTCTTTCTCGGCAGAGACTTGTGCGTTGCGTAAAGCGAGGGCTTTGAACGGTGCCGGTCCCTGGGTGGCCGAGTGTCACAAAGAAGAACGTTTATCCCTTCGCCTGCCGCAATGCCACGTGGCTCTCCTGACACAACAAACACGTGCTTAATTCAGACGTTTTCCATGAAAAAAAACAACCCACCCGTAAAAAAAAAAACGTAACGGAACAGCTAGCAGAAATGAGCATCGGCCAGGAAAATCAAGACAGTGTAACATTTAGTAGGTGAGCGATGGAATTATTTTTGGCTGGCTTTTCCATGGCAAAGCCTGCCCAGAGATTGTTGCAAAGCCATAGTGGGCGCATTAATGCCACTTCTGGTTGGAGGAGGGGGGGGGGCAATGGAAGGCGGCTTTAGCCGGGTGCTGCAGCGTCATCAAACAAAGTTGCTACCGGCACACAGAGCCGCTCTGTAGCCTAATAAAATAAACTATTTTTTTTTAAAACAAAATACATTTTTTTCCCACTTCTGCTATTTTCTCCCCAATTTTTACACCCGATTGTGCTACAGGCGTCGCGTCACAAGATAAAGAGCCCAATGGGAACTCTCGCAGAGCAGTGCAGCCCACGGATATCACAAAGCTGCCTCTGAGATCCACTCAGGTGACCTCTGGTCCACATACAGTAGAGGGCAACACGAATAAAGCAAACCGTAAATGTATTAACCGGCAAAAAATAATAACATTAGGATGAGAAAATGTGGTTTGCAATGGAATCAGAGTGGGTGATCAATATAACGTGTTGAGACTTATTTTGGGACCTCTTTTTGCTGTGCCTTCAAACTGCTGAAATTAAGGAAGGAGTCTTATTTGTTATTTCTCTGCAGAGTTATCGAATCAAATTAAATGCTACCATCTCGGCACTGCCTTGATGCACTTCAAAAGGCACTTTGTCAACAACAACAACAACAATATTTGGGTTACTTTGCACACACACAGACATCTGCCGTGAAAGCTGCCACTTTTCTACAACAAATAGAGCGACGAAATAAAATACTGCTTCCTTTCCAAATTTCTCTCTCCACATTGTAACAAAACTACCTTTTACGCAACTTATCGGCCGCACGGCTTTCGAGGAGTGCGTCTTATCAGCGGCAAAGGTTATCATGTCTCCTCACCGTATATGTCTGCCCCATGTCATATTTTACATTTACATGTTTTCTCTTGTGATTAACGTTCTCTGCAAGGACACTTAATCATTAATGTGTCCACAGACAGTCGTATTGTTTGCGTTCACGAGCCACTTGCCCGAGGTAACAACGTGATAATCTGAAGTTTGTTAAACGGCGGTGGTGGTGGTGGTGGTGGTTTGGGGAGGCCTTTGTCCAGCAGTGGAGTGACTTTGGCTGATGATAATAATGATGATAAATGCAGTGAATGAAGTAACCTGGCTGACTGAAAGTCAGGTGTAACAAATATCTCTGAACGAATTGCGAATGGATATCATGGGTCTCAATGCTGGGTTCCTCCCCAACCATTACGATGGTTCTCAAGTGTACCGAGTCAAGAGACAATAGAGCAAGAGACAATAGAGCAAGAGACAATAGAGCAAGAGACAATAGAGCAAGAGACAATAGAGCAAGAGACAATAGAGCAATAGACAATAGAGCAATAGACAATAGAGCAAGAGACAATAGAGCAAGAGACAATAGAGCAAGAGACAATAGAGCAAGAGACATTAGAGCAAGAGACAATAGAGCAAGAGACAATAGAGCAAGAGACAATAGAGCAAGAGACAATAGAGCAAGAGACAATAGAGCAAGAGACAATAGAGCAAGAGACAATAGAGCAAGAGACAATAGAGCAAGAGACAATAGAGCAAGAGGCAATAGAGCAAGAGACAATAGAGCAAGAGACAATAGAGCAAGAAACAATAGAGCAAGAGACAATAGAGCAAGAGACAATAGAGCAAGAGACAATAGAGCAAGAGACAATAGAGCAAGAGACAATAGAGCAAGAGACAATAGAGCAAGAGACAATAGAGCAAGAGGCAATAGAGCAAGAGACAGAGCAAGAGACAATAGAGCAAGAGACAATAGCGTGTTCGGTCAATAGGTGGGTATCGAGCGAACAGTTGCACAGTCGAGGGGCTGTGTAGGACGGACCCCCCTTGATGGACGTTGGTCATAAGTCTGCGACGTCAATTCGCGGTTGCTCTGCCATGCAAAGGCCGGCATTTGTTGTCATTTACCAAGTGAAAATGTTAGTTTTGTGCTCAAATAATTGGTATTATTTGATTACAAAGGCTTGGAAAATGTACGACAAAAGGTACAAACTTACACCTTTAAAAAAAAATTCCACCAGGCCCGAAAGGGTACACCTTCTGAATGTCTGAGATGTGCTCTGAGTACAAAATGAAAAATCAGCAAAGAAATAAACAAGATCAGCGTCCTCCAATGGCAGCTCTGATCTGTCACAATACCACGTGTTCTCCATTTGAGAAAAAAATTGGGAAAATTTGGAGCACATCTGTGGGGAGTATGGCAGAATGTTTCAAATCTCCTGTGATTAATACTTAAAATGCATACAGCGCTGCATTATGCTAAGAAAAAGGTTTGTCTTGGCATTGACGTAATACAACGATCCCAAGATTTGCAATTCCTCTCTCATGGCTCCATATGGTCGTCAGACCGATCGTGTGAATAGATGCATGCCACGAGACACTTGAGAAGCCATCAACATCCTAGACAAAACACGCCCTTGCAAAAACACGCAGCCATCGAAATTATTCTCAGAAAGGCCACGTATTGAGAAATGGGCGAACGTAGTTGCCAAAGTTGATATCCTACCGAGTAGTTAAATATGACATCCCCCCCCCCCCACTCAAAATACAACTTGGAATTCTGGATGACAGGTGGCGAGTAAAAATATACTCTCTGACACGTGTCGGCAAGGTTCGGTTCGGCAGGAAACAATAACACGCTTCATGAATGGATCCCTTCTTGAGATTTCACGTACGCATTTAATCCCAAAACGTTTATTTTGTAAAGCGTTCGCACGCGAGCGTAGATGGGACGCAGAAGTGTGCTGCTTTGGGTTCCGCGTCACGATCCCGGGAAGCTGGGTTACGACTCCTGGACGCGGCCCGCCACCAGTAGCAAGGGCTAAATGCACGTGGCGTGGATCTCCCTGAGGATGACTCAGCCTAAAGTGACTTCCCGCAGCGGTAATGTGTCAGCATCAATCAGCAATAGGGAGACAAAAGTCGTCTGACACGATGCTGACCACAACATCCACCCTTTCGCGCGATGCTGGTGTCATAGGTGATCGCCAACAGCACTTGGCCCGGTATCTTTCGAGCATCAATAAAGTGAATGCTGCCCGTGGAAAGTCAATTGCGCTAGTCTGATTTCTACAGCCCCTGCCATAGAAATGTGGAATTTTGGGCTCAAGGCCACCAAGAGAGGATTGGCACCAGCTGATGGTTATTTGAGCAAGGAAGAGTGTTTAATTTGACAGCACTTTATCCGATAGCCTCAGGCTCTCAGTGGGAGATCTGTGTGTGTCTTTGTGCTCGCGTAAGTGTGCGCGCACGCGCGTGCCTACACGCACGCGCCTCCAGCTTGCACCACCGCACACGCGCGACAAGCCACGTCTGTTCGCCTGGAGGGCACAGATCGCGAGCACCGATGCCAACGCCAGCCAGGCAAACGTGGCCCACCGCAGATTTTTTTTAAACATAATTCCCTCTGTTGAAACGGGCCGATTATGAGCGCCGGTAGAGAGACGCAACAGCTCTGCTGGTGGGTACGCACGCACTCTGGGCGGCTTGCAGAAGGGCGGCCTTTTTCTCCAGTTTCAAATAAAAAAAATAAAGAGCCCGTGACACTGGCAGCATTGGGGAGCTGGTGCGAGCGAAGGGGCCAGGGTGGGATGGGGACTTAGTGTGCGTGGAAAATCACCGAACCCAGTGAGCCCCGCGTGAAAGGGATTTTTTGTTCGCAGGCGTTGGCACACAGTCACCTTACAAGGTGACACTCCACCGCAAAACAGCAAATAAAATCACGTGGAAAGCGAAACGTGTTCGTGTCTGGCTTGAACGCGGGGCAGGCCAGAGCACTTTCACCTTGGCGCTGCAACGTCCTGTAATACCTCCCCTCCCGCTGGGCCCTCTCTGGCTTGCCAACAAATCTCCACCCTACAATCACCAACGGTTTGAATGGCTGGGCTGATACACAATCATAGGGCACAACGCCATGGGACATTGTACCTCTGAAGAGGAGTACGTCATTTGTGGATTTTTTTGTTTTTTGTTCAATTCATGGAGCACTTGTTTATTTTACGAAAATGTAATTAAATGTAATTGGCAATCGCGGTGGCGAGATGTTAACTTCCTCGCCTGGTATGCACGAGTGCGTGCGTTCGATTCGCGGCCCTGACACCTGTATATTTGGAGTTTGCGTGTTCTTCCCGTGGTCGCGTGGATTTTTGTCCGGGTCCTTCGGTGTTTCCCTCCACATTCAGAAACTTGCGCTCTGAGTATTTGTTTGCTATGAATGTCCACACGATAAGCCACTTCGTTGAGCCATAATTTGTGATAGCCAGGTCGCTTCTGAATAAATAGCTACAGTATATAGCTCAGTGGGCCTTACCTGCTAAAATAAAAGTTTAAAGTTATTTTTTTTTAATCTGCTCAGCCGTCGGCGTGCTCATTCGTGAGTCGGTTTGGAATGAGTCCCCAGTTCTCTAACTTCAACCGCGATGCCGCGTTCATTCATTCAGACGGGGGGGTGGGGGGCGGTGTGGGCGCTGCCACCACAGTGCGTGGTGTGCTACAAGCGGGACTGCAATGGGCTTGCTTGTGAGTGTTACTCGCATAAGTGGGACCATTGTGCGCCGGGGCCATAACCCAAAGCCCGCATTTGACAATCGTCCCCTCTAAAGTGACTTCCTGCTCAACGACTATTGAGGGCATTGGCTCTCTCATCTCCTGTTTACAGCTCTGAGCCAGCGGCGGAGATCCCCCGCATTTCCGCGGTGGGGGCGAGTCTATATCCGCAGGACAATTTACCGCAAAGTGGTACCCATTTTAGTGACCTTCGGAGATAAATGATGGCCCGAGTCAGCCAGGCCCGCCCCCCCCCGACCAGGACTTGAACTCGTGACCTAAGAATTGACGAGCATCTCGCTCGCTCTGAGCTCACAAAACCCCCTTTATTTGCAGAAGAGATAATCCTCGTCTCTCTCACCTGAGCAAATAAAGGCCGGCTGGAGCGGAACTAAAACGTGCAGCTGAGCGTTCGCCTCACAAACGAAGTCCTTTCTCATCCATTTCAGCCGCGCTCAATGGGAACTGTCATACGTGACGCAATACCGTGTCAAGGTGTGATAGTCAAATGTTGGTTTATAAATGTGTGCAGGATACTTTAATCCCCCTTTCCCTAGCACGTGCGATGTGTGTTTAAGAAAGAAAATCGACTGCTGTCTGCATCGAAGATCAACGTAACGCGACTTTTGAACGACTTGTTCGTCTACAGTGTGACCCAGCCAAAGCCACCCACGTAATCTTGTCGAGTTCACTGGACCGGGATACATTGGTGAGGGCGGACCGGTAATTTATCTGCCACGAAGAATGAATGAATGCATTTCGAGTCTGGACAAAAAAAGATAAAGATTCCCCCGTGTAGCTTTAACAGACTGTAGGGGCAAGTGCTGTTAGCGAGCACCTATGAAGGTCGGAACGGTACACGAGGGGGTGGGTGGCCAGCACCACGCCCGACCGCCTTTGTCTCCCCAGTGGCAATGTTTTTTTATCCACCGCACCAGGTACTCATTTGAGGCTGAGTCGACCTAGGGGAGGCCCAGGACCGGTTCAGATAATCGTCACTGGGTGTTGGCCGTGAATGAGAATCGAACCCAGGTCGCCAGGTTCATAGCGCAGCGCGCTAACCGCTGCACCACCGCTCCCCACACACACACACGAAGTAAGCTCTTTTTTGCCGTCGCACGAACACGACCGAAGGAACGTGCTGTTCGTGAGCACCTATTAAGGTGTGCACGGCCCACAAAAATAACGGGGAGGCTAGTTCCTGTAAGGGGCCGTCCATAAATGAGGTCACGCGATTTTTTTACGATTTTTGACGACCCCCCCCCCCCCCAATCGTCACACGGCGTCACAAAAAGTCAGCCCCCCCCTCAAATATGACGTCACAAAGCTCTGTCCCCCCCACCCCCCAAATAAAAGATGCTTCAAATCGCTTTAAGCTATTGTCATTGTAGTGCGTATTTAATGTGCCGCTGCACTGTGATGTTGTAGGAAAAAACATTTATTAAAAAGTCTATTTAATTAAGTAGAACGTGTTGTCTATATTTATTTAAAGTTGCGCATTTTGACGTGACGTCACATTGCTCAACCTCCTCCCCCCCACTCGTCACACATCGTAACAAATGTCTGACCCCCCCCCCCCCAGGTGCGTGACGTCATTTATGGACGTCCCAGACACACGCACCTGTGAACCAGCCCCCCAAGTCGACCTGGGGGAGGCTCAGGACCGGTTCAAATCATCGTCACCGGTGTTGGCCGTGAGCGGGAGACGAACTCGGGCCACAGGGTTCGTAGCAGGGCGCGCTAGCCGCTCCACAGACACAACAACAACAACCGCCATTCGCCACTAAATGGCGGTGACGTCACAACGCTTACCACGACGCTTGTGCCAGGCTACAAAGACAAAGATCCCTCCGTATAGCCTGTAACAGACTGTAGGGGCAAGTGCTGTTAGCGAGCACCTATGAAGGCCGGCACGGCACACGAGGGTTGTGAGTGGCCAACACCGCGCCCGGCCGCCTTTGTCTCCCTAGTGACGGTGTTTACACATCGCACCGGGTACTCATTTGTGGCTGAGTCGACCTCGGGGAGGCCCGGGACCGGTTCAGATAATTGTCACTGGGCGTTGGCCGTGATCGGGAATCGAACCCGGGTCGCCAGGTTCGTAGCGCAGCGTAGTGCGCTAACCGCTCCCCACAGCAGCAAGTTCAATTGAGGCAAGAGCCGCTTGCTCCTTGATTTCTTACATTGCCAGCACCGGGTGAAGCAAATGGGTCTGCAGTCGAACATTTCACGAGTACGGGGTTTTGTTGACGTGAACTCGAATGACCGCACTGCGCTTTCGGGAGGCACAGGAAGCTTGCAGCAAACTGGGCTCGTGGCGGGTCGCACTTGCGAGAGACGAGCACAAAGATCCCCGGTGCAGCCTTGAGCCACACCGCTGGGACAAGTGCTGTTAGCAACGCAGCCCACGCAGGCTGGCACGGCTAACAAGTGTGGCTAGCAGAGCACACGCGGCTGCCTTTGTCTAGCCCAGGCGCTGATTATTTACACGCCCTAGCAGGTATTCATTGAAAGACAGGTTGACCTTGAGGAGGACCCAGGACCGACTCAAATATTCGTCACCGATGTTGGCTGTGAGCGAGATTCGGGCTCAGGCCATCGGGTTCGCAGCAAAGTGCCCGAACCAATGAGCCATCGCCTCCCTGCTGGGCGTTTTGTACAAGGATTAACTTACCACAAATATCTCCTTCACAATGTGACATCCGGGGGATGGGGAAGCCTCAATTATTTCATCATAATCAATGTCTTCAGCGCAAACTGATGAATACTATTCTCCACTGCGCTGAGTCCACGGGTTGTGCGCTTATGAGTTTAATAATAAAATAGTTAAATGAACGTGTCGCTATTATTTAGGCTGCGAGAAACAAACGTGCAAGAAAACTGAAATCGCCGTTGTGTGGTTGGAAAGTAACGCTCACCGATTTCAATGCCGCTTTGCTCGGGCACCGTGAAGTCAGTGGGCAGCTGCGAGCCAGGACCCGACTTGAGCAGGAAGTCCCCGGAGAGGTCGCCCTCGCCGCCTGGCGTTCGCCCCTCGCCAACGCCACTCTCCCCGCCCTCTCCCAGCACCACGGTCGCCTCTGGCGCCTCCTCCGTTGCGCCAACGACTCCCCCCGGTTCAGCAACGCCCGACCCCACGCCCACTTCCGGTTCGAGGACGGCCGTCGAGCCCTGCTCTGTTGGGAACGCCTCCACGCCGCTCTCCTGGCTCGGCACCGACTCCAAGATTTCCTCAGCAGCCGACAAATCTAGCTCCGGAGCCCCGGATTCGCCGGGCACGCCGAGCTCCTCGTACGACTCCGGGACTTCGACGGTGATGGATACGGTTTCGTGTTCCGATTCCTCGGACTCGGGGAGTCCGGATTGTTCGGGGGCGAGGGAGCTACCGGGCTCCGCCGCGCTGCCATCGTACGGGATGACGTCGAGGTGGCCAACGCTCGCGGTGTCTGTGGGCAGCGGGGTAACCTCCGGGTGTAGGGCGGCCGTGTCAATGGACGTCGGGGGAAAGCCTCCTGCCTCTTTGGCGTTCCCGCTCCTTGGCATGAGCTGCTCTTGGGAAATGTCAGCCGAATGGTCGGCCTCGCCTGCGACCGGCAGCTCGGGAACATCGACGGCGCTTTGTGATGTCTCGACTTCCCCTCGTACAATTTGCGACTCGTCCGTCTCGAGAAGGTGAGGTTCGCCGCTCGAGATTATGACCTGGGATGAACCGGCGTCTTCGGCATGGACAATCTGCGACGTGTCGGTCTCCTCGTGAGTCGTAATAGGGGCTTCAAAGCCACTCTGAGAGGCGTGAGAGTCTTCTTCTGCAGTCACTCGATGTTCGCCGCTCGTTACAATATGAGAAGAACTGGACTCCTTTTCAGCAGTTTGGGATTCATCGATTGCAACGTGAGGAATTATGAGCAAATCAGTGTCTTCATGCTTTTCAGAAGGAACACCAAACCCACTGTCTGTAACGTGAGATTCTTCTCCACTCGTCACTACAGTTTCACCTTCAGCCATGTGAGACTCATCTACTCCACCGTGATGGACCTGGGGTGTTAGAGTGTCTTCATTAATGTCAGATGGGGCACCAACTCCGCTTTCAACTATGAGAGATTCATCTACATCACTGTGAGGGACTTGCGGTGCTAGACTGTCTTCATGAATGTCAGAAGGGACACCAAACCCACTCTCTGTAATGTAAGAATCTTCTCCACTTGCTATGGCAACGTGAGATGTTCCCGCCTCTCCTTTAACGATGTGAGATTCATCTACCATACCGTGAGGAGCTTGGGGCCCGAGAGTGTCTTCATGAATTTCAGAAGAAGCACCAATGCCGCTCTCTGTAATGTGAGATTCCTCTCCACTTGCTAATGTAATGTGAGATGTGTCAACTTCTTCAGAAAGGTGAGATTCATCTACTCCACTGTGAGGGGCTTGGGGTGCTAGACTGTCTTCATGAATGTCAGAAGGAACACCAAACCCACTGCCTGTAAACTGAGAATCTTCTCCACTTGCTATGGCAACGTGAGATGTTCCCGTCTCTCCTTTAACGATGTGAGATTCATCTACCGTACCGTGAGGAGCTTGGGGCCCGAGAGTGTCTTCATGAATTTCAGAAGACGCACCAATGCCGCTCTCGGTAATGTGAGATTCCTCTCCACTTGTTGATGTAATGTGAGATGTGTCAACTTCTTCAGAAAGGTGAGATTCATCTACTCCACTGTGGGGGGCTTGGGGTGCTAGACTGTCTTCATGAATGTCAGAAGAAACACCAATGTCGCTGTCTGTAATGTGAGATTCCTCTCCACTTGCTAATGGAATGTGAGATGTGTCAACTTCTTCAGAAATGTGAGAATCATCTACTCCACTTTGAGGGACTTGGGGTGCTAGACTGTCTTCATGAATGTCAGAAGGGACACCAAACCCACTGCCTGTAATGTGAGAATCTTCTCCACTTGCTATTGCAATGTGAGATGTTCCCGCCTCTCCTTTAACGATGTGAGATTCATCTACCGTACCGTGAGGAGCTTGGGGCCCGAGATTGTCTTCATGAATGTCAGAAGGAACACCAACACCACTTTCAACGATGGGAGATTCATCTACATCACTGTGAGGGACTTGGGGTGCTAGACTGTCTTCATGAATGTCAGAAGGAACACCAACTCCGCTTTCAACGATGAGAGATTCATCTACATCACTGTGAGGGACTTGGGGTGCTAGACTGTCTTCATGAATGTCAGAAGGAACACCAACTCCACTTTCAACGATGAGCGATTCATCTACATCACTGTGAGGGACTTGGGGTGCTAGACTGTCTTCATGAATGTCAGAAGGAACACCAACTCCACTTTCAACGATGAGAGATTCATCTACATCACTGTGAGGGACTTGTGGTGCTAGACTGTCTTCATGAATGTCAGAAGGAACACCAACTCCGCTTTCAACGATGGGAGATTCATCTACATCACTGTGAGGAACTTGGGGTGCTAGACTGTCTTCATGAATGTCAGAAGGAACACCAACTCCACTTTCAACGATGAGAGATTCATCTACATCACTGTGAGGGACTTGTGGTGCTAGACTGTCTTCATGAATGTCAGAAGGAACACCAACTCCACTTTCAACGATGGGAGATTCATCTACATCACTGTGAGGGACTTGGGGTGCTAGACTGTCTTCATGAATGTCAGAAGGAACACCAAACCCACTGTCTGTAAACTGAGAATCTTCTCCACTTGCTATGGCGATTTGAGATGTTCCCGTATCTCCTTTAACGATGTGAGATTCATCTACCGTACCGTGAGGGGCTTGGGGCCCGAGAGTGTCTTCATGAATGTCAGAAGGAACACCAATGCCGCTTTCAGTAATATGAGATTCCTCTCCACTTGCTACTATAGTATCGCCGTCAACGATGGGAGATGCATCTACATCACTGTGAGGGACTTGCGGTGCTAGACTGTCTTCATGAATGTCAGATGGAACAGCAATCCCACTGTCTGTAATCTGAGATTCCTCTCCACTTGTAAATGTAATGTGAGATGTGTCGACTTCTTCGGAAACTTGAGATTCATCGACTCCACTGTGAGGGACAACGAATTCCCCTTCTACTCCATGAGAAACATCATCTCCACTTTCAACGATCTGAGATTCCTCTCCGGTTGCAAGAGCAATGTGAGACGTGTCGAGTTCTTCAGAAGCTTGAGATTCATCGACTCCACTTTGAGGGACAACGAATTCCCCTTCTGCTCCATGAGAAACATCATCTCCACTTTCAATGACGTGAGATTCTTCTCCAGTTGCAAGAGCAATATGAGATGTGCCGACTTCGTCAGAAGCTTGAGATTCATCGACTCCACTGTGATGGACACCAAATTCATCTTCTACAGCATGGGAAACATCTACTCCACTTTCAATGATGTGAGATTCCTCGCCGCTCGCAGCAGGCACATGAGATGTTTTAACATCGCCTTCAGCAGTTTGAGACTCTTCAAACTCACTTTGAAGGATGTGGGAAATGTCGGAGTTTTCATGAATTTCATGAGGTATGCCAGTGCCACTCTGTGATTCTTCTCTACTCACAATAGTAGTTTGAGATGCTTCAGTGTCTTCTCCAGCAATCTGAGAACCATCAACCTCACCATGAGGGACCTGTGGCACATCGACTTCTTCGTGAAGTTCATGAGGAGTACCAGTTCCACTCTGTGAAATTTCCGATTCTTCTCCACTCGCGACAGCATCGTGAGATGTTTCCATCTTTTCTTCAGTAACGTGAGCTTCATCTGTTTCACCATCACCCACCTGGGACACTTGGTCGTCTCCGTGTGTCCCATGAAGCCCCTCTGTCCCACTGTGTAATACGGGCGATTCTTCTCCGCTCACGGGGATGATGGAAGATGTATCAATTTCACCTTTAGCAGCATGAGACCCTTCGATGGCACTCTCGGAACCCTGGGACGCTGGAACGTCTTCGTGAATGTCAAGAAGAACATCAGCCCCGCTTTGAACAGTATGAGAATCCTCTTCTCCACTCACAATGGCAGTGTGAGATGTGTCGGGCTGTCCCTCCAAAAGGGGAAATGTGTCAAGTCCGCTGGGAGACACTGGAGATAAATCTGTTTCTTCATGGATTTCATAGGAAACATCGGTCCCACTCTCTGCAACGTGAGATTCATCTCCGCTTGAAGGAACAATGTGAGATATTTCAGTCTCTCCGCCATCGATGTGAGAATCACCAATCCCACTGTGAGGCACTTGGGGCACGTGAGTGTCTTCGTGTATCCCGTGAGGAGTTTCGGCCCCACTGTGCAGTATGACAGATTCCTCCCCACTCTCCGAGGAAATATGTGATGCATCAGTCTCTCCTTCAACAGTTTGGGAATCTTCAATCACAGTCTCGGGGACTTGGGACAAATCAATGTCTTCATGAATTTCAGCAGTAGTTCCAGTTTCACTCTGCACAATGTGAGCTTCTTCTCCACTTGTAAAAGCATTGTCAGGTGTTTCAGTGTCTCCTTCAGTCATGTGAGATTCATCTGTTTCAATTTGAGGGACGTGGAACAAATCCGTTTCTTCATGAGTTTCTGAAGCAGTCCCACTTTGTGAAACGTGAGATCCTTCTCCACTTGAAGTAGAAATGTGAGATGTCTTGGTGTCTCCTTCAGTAATGTGAGATTCATCAGTTTCCCCATGAGGGACATTTGACTGATCAGTTTCTTCATTAATTTCCGAAAGAATGTCAGCCGCACTTTGTGAAAAGTGTGATTCTTCTCCAGAAATGTGAGATGTTTCAACATCTCCTTCAGTAATGTGAGATTTATCAGTTTCGCCGTGAGGGACATTTGACTGATCAGTTTCTTCATGAATTTCCGAAAGAATGTCAGCCCCACTTTGTGAAAAGTGTGATTCTTCTCCGGAAATGTGAGATGTTTCAACATCTCCTTCAGTAATGTGAGATTCATCAGTTTCCCCATGAGGGACATTTGACTGATCAGTTTCTTCATGAATTTCCGAAAGAATGTCAGCCCCACTTTGTGAAAAGAGTGATTCTTCTCCGGAAATGTGAGATGTTTCAACATCTCCTTCAGTAATGTGAGATTCATCAGTTTCCCCATGAGGGGCATTTGACTGATCAGTTTCTTCATGAATTTCCGAAAGAATGTCAGCCCCACTTTGTGAAAAGTGTGATTCTTCTCCGGAAATGTGAGATGTTTCAACATCTCCTTCAGTAATGTGAGATTCATCAGTTTCCCCATGAGGGACATTTGACTGATCAGTTTCTTCATGAATTTCTGAAAGAATGTCAGCCCCACTTTGTGAAAAGAGTGATTCTTCTCCGGAAATGTGAGATGTTTCAACATCTCCTTCAGTAATGTGAGATTCATCAGTTTCCCCATGAGGGACATTTGACTGATCAGTTTCTTCATGAATTTCCGAAAGAATGTCAGCCCCACTTTGTGAAAAGTGTGATTCTTCTCCGGAAATGTGAGACGTTTCAACATCTCCTTCAGTAATGTGAGATTCATCAGTTTCCCCATGAGGGACATTTGACTGATCAGTTTCTTCATGAATTTCTGAAAGAATGTCAGCCCCACTTTGTGAAAAGAGTGATTCTTCTCCGGAAATGTGAGATGTTTCAACATCTCCTTCAGTAATGTGAGATTCATCAGTTTCCCCATGAGGGACATTTGACTGATCAGTTTCTTCATGAATTTCCGAAAGAATGTCAGCCCCACTTTGTGAAAAGTGTGATTCTTCTCCGGAAATGTGAGACGTTTCAACATCTCCTTCAGTAATGTGAGATTCATCAGTTTCCCCATGAGGGACATTTGACTGATCAGTTTCTTCATGAATTTCCGAAAGAATGTCAGCCCCACTTTGTGAAAAGTGTGATTCTTCTCCAGAAATGTGAGATTTTTCAACATCTCCTTCAGTAATGTGAGATTCATCAGTTTCCCCATGAGGGACATTTGACTGATCAGTTTCTTCATGAATTTCCGAAAGAATGTCAGCCCCACTTTGTGAAAAGTGTGATTCTTCTCCGGAAATGTGAGATGTTTCAACATCTCCTTCAGTAATGTGAGATTCATCAACCACACTGTGAGGGACCTGGGCCGCATCAATTTCTCCCTCAATGTCAGCGGGAGCATCAGTGCCACTGCGTTCAACGTGAGAGTCTTCTCCACTCATGACAGCAAAGTGAGACCCTTCAGCCTCTCCTTCTGCAATTTGAGAGTCATCAATCTCGCTGTGAGGTACAGGGGACAAATTGGTGTCTTCGCGAACTTCATGAGCTCCTGCTTCTTCCCGGGCACGAGTCGAATCCGTTTGTCCATGCAAAACATGAGACGTCTCTCCGCCCGGTGCGTGAAACGTGCCCCGTTGTCCGTGGGCAGCCCCTGCTTTGGTCTCGGAATCTGCGGGGCGCGGCACCACAACGCCTTTGTGAGTCACGTGCTTCTCCGTCTCCACGTACACGAGGTGCGCACCGCGTGTGTCGCTCTGACGTCCCGGCGCAAATGTGTGCGCCCCACCTCTCCCTGCCGCCGTCGCTCCAGGCTGGAATACCCTTCTGTGTGGCGCAAACACCACTCGCTCCACCTTCATCACTTGCCCGTCCGACGGTCCATCCTGGGAGCTCTCCAGCTTCCCCTCCGCGTGGCCTGCCAAGGTGACATCTGCGCCAACCCCAAATACGTGTCGCTCAGTGGGGGCGCCGTGAACCTGTCGCGCTGTCGCGTTCTCCGCAGCCTCGCCGGGGCCCCAAGAACTTCTGCTGCCCTGCGGTTGTTGGACGCTGTGGAAGAACGGGATGCTGCCCGCCGTGGCGTCCGATGGGACGAACTGGCTGCGCTGCTCGGTGAGGTACTGCCGGTGCTGCTGGGGTTGGTAGGTCGCTGGATGGAGCTCCAAGCCAGAATCCCTGCCCGGAACGAACTCCAGCGACATCGTCATCTCCTCTCGCGGCAGCGCCGCGGCTGTGTCACCGAAGACGCTGCTGCCCTCGGCCTGGTGATCTGCACAAGAAAGATCGGCGGAGAGCGCGTCAGTGCTGTGGCCATAGTTTTGCATGTTCCTTCTTTAGATGAACAGTCTTAACGTGGTCTGTAAACAGTTACCCATTCGTAGATATGTAGTAACAGACGGCTGCTTCAAAATTTACCAAAAGAATATGCATAGTCTTGTTTAAAGTAAAATCATGAAAAGTTGCTGATGAATCTTGGCTTAAAGCTTTCGTGACTGCAGGAATTCATATTCTTTGTGTCTTTCGGTAAAGTCACGTAGATAGGTAAAACATTTTTTTACAAAAAAAACTACGACGTTTCGATTGCAACACAAGCGGTCGTCATCAGGTGGAGAAAAAGGAGGGGTTAGCCTCTAAAGGTAAACTGTTTATAAAGGTTTAAAATGGGTGTAGCCCAAGTGTCAGCAGCATGGGTGGAGGAGCTTATGTTAATGTGAGGGATTGAAAATGGTGGGCCTCCGCATGTAGGGCGGAGAAGCTGTGTCTGCGGCAGTAGTTACATTGGGGAAATTAAGCGACATGTCTCGGACCGTGTTCGTGAGCATAATGCAGATCTAAAACACGGTAGGACCAATATCTCGGCTATGGCTGATCATTGTTTTAATGCGGTGGGCTCACATGAAATTGATTTCTCTAAGATGAAGGTACTTTGCAAACCCACTAGCTATCAACAAAAATTCGTTCATGAAGCCATCCATATATGCAGACACAATTTCAACCGAGAGGATGGGTACAAACTCAGCAATCACTGGAAGGATGTTATCAACCAGTTTAAGTCATAACTGGCATTAATGTTTCCATTTTAGCACTGTCCGTTGCTCACCAGTTTTTTAACCCCTCACATTAACATAACCTTATCTGCTCTACATGCGGAGGCCCATCGTTTTAAATCCCTCACATTAACATAAGCTCCTCCGCCCAGGCTGCTGACACTTGGGCTATGCCCGGCTAACCCCTCCTTTTTCTCCACCTGATGATGACCGCTTGTGTTGCAATCGAAACGTCGTAGTTTTTTTAACCTATCTACGTGACTTTAACGAAAGACCCGAAGAATATAAGTTACTGATGCATTGCATCCTAGGTACCTATGATGCAGTTTGGTATGTTATTGAAGAAAGACCATTTGGATACTTAAGACTCCAATTGCACAGTTTGTAATAAAATTGTAACATGAAGTGGGCAGTAAAAGAGAAAAGTAGAATAAGGATATTCGGGGTGCGATGCTGTGTCAAAGCAGTGAGCTGGCATCACTGAGGCCCTGCGTATGAATCCGGGTTTCAGCTGCCTGAAATTTAAAATTATTTCAGGTAGAGTGATCTGATAGTTTGAGCCCACATCGCCAAGTGATTACACCACCAAACCCATCAAATTAAATGTGGTTCATCACTTGATCTTGCTTCGTGAAAATCTTGGTTTGATTGCCGCAATTAAAACTATGGAAATATATAAAAAGATGTGCCGCTGAGTGTGGATAAGACACCATTTGAAATCACATCAAAAGTAATTCTGTAATTTCGTATTCCACTGCCATCTTCTGATTTGAAGTGCAATTATGCTGCTCACATTTGTAAATTTCTTTATCTCACTACGTGACAATTCTTACCACAATTAGTATAATTGGAATAAAAATTACAATGCTTTGAAAAAGATATATAAAAAATGTCTTTCAATAGGGCTAAATAAGGGGTTATATGTGACTGGATGGCATTGTGATTATACTATAGAGAGAGTAATTTACAAAACTGGGTTCGTGCCACCCCATTGCACACGTATCTATCCATCAGCTGAACAATGCTGCATAGAAGCTACACAGCCTATCTCTCCATACGAAGCTCCGAGTCTTCTCAGCCACAGTTGTGCCCCATGCCTCTATGCTCACGATACGTGGAACCCCGCTTAATGTAACGTCCCCTTCCTTGCATGGGTTTTTTCTGGGTCGTCCGGTCCTGCTCCGATAGCTAAAAAACAATGTAATTGGTGTTGCCCAAACATCCCAATGCAGCAGGGCCACGCTGAGTCCTCAGACTCATCGTGGCTTTCCTGGGTATGTAATCAATGATTATTATTTTTCGCAATATAAAATTGTATCGGTGGGTTTGTCACAGAGATCGTTGCGGCGTCGCACCACGGAAGCAGTAGGCGTCGTAGCGCTGCTCGGGCCCCGGGAACCCCGTGCGATCCTTGTCCCTGTAGATGGTGCGCACGCCGGCGACCGGCCCGCCGCAGTTGGTGCGAGGCCGCACGATGGGGTAGCGCACGCTCCCATCGGCAAGCCAGCCCGGGTCGCAGCGGTCGAACGCTGCCAGGCGCCATGCACCAAACAGCTGTCCTGGCGATGCCAGCGTGGCGCCCAGCGTCTCGCAGTGGTCGCGGGCTCCGGCCAGGGTCAGGCGTCCGATCGCCGACGCATGGAAAACCTCGCCTGGGCGGGTGACAACGCGAGCGCGGCGGGGGGGTGGCGAAGGGGCGGAGGTCAACGGAGAGATAAGCGACCGCTGAAGATGATGTCGCGTGCGGGTTGGCATGGCCACAGCTTTTCTCCCCCCACCCCCCACTGTATTTAACGATAATAGATTATTAAATACAGTGGGGTGCCACGGTGGCGAGATGTTAAATGCCTGACCTGGTATGCAGGAGGTCGTGAGTTTGATCCCGGACCTGACACCTGCTGTATATTTGGAGTTTGCATGCTCTCCCTGTGGTTGTGTGGATTTTTCTTCGGGTCCTCCGGTTTTTTCCTCCACATTTAGAAACACGCTTTTAGAGTATTTGGCTGCTACACATTTCCACGCTATAAGCCACTTTGATTGGGCTATCATTGGTGGCCAGGTCGCGTCTGAAATAGAGCTACATAGCTCTGTGGTAGCTTCTTTTAGTTAACCAGAGTAATGCCATGGATATGCTTTCTCCAAACAATCGCATCTGACCTGTAGCGGGATTGTTGTATACCAAATCTGGCCTGGCAGGCATCGAAAATATATATTTTTGTATTCTGTCCCGACGCCTTTGTCTTAAACGCTGAAAAACAAGGGTAGGAGGAGTGAGCGTCCACCACGGAGCGAGTGAGTGGGACACGTTGCTCACCTCGGAACTCCCCCACGTAGCAGTAGACGTCGAACATCTCATTGGGGCTCTTCACGCCGTAATTTCGTACTCCGGGATCGTGGATCTTGTCGCCATCGCATTTACGTCTGGGATGCACGATCGGGTACCTTGGGGGTAGGTTGGGGGTAGGGGGGAGGGATACCGGCGCGCGGTCAGGCTCGGAGAAAACCTCCTCGTGGGGGGGGGGGGGGGGGGCGGTGACATGAGCGAGTCGTGCGTTTTCCACTTGTTGGTTGTCGCAAGAGGTGTGCGGTTTGAGCCCGGCGGTCGCCCTGGTTAATACTGCGGCGTGTGAAAATGTAAAGACTTGAAAGAAAAGCAGGGCAGTCAATGCAATTACATTCAATGCATTTTCTATGACAAATATGAATGAAACAAGAATATTCAGGGTCTACGTGGAGGGGTGTGGGGGGGGGCGTCGCCTCAACGGCTCTCCACCGCGCACCTTGCCCACCTGCGTGCCAGCCAGCCAGCCAGAAAAATGTTTTTTTTTCTAATATAGTGCGAAAAGCAGCATTGGGGGCTTTAGAGAGGGAGCGGCTGGGTAGCTGGATGGGTGGCGAGAGCTTTTGTTACGTGGCTGGAGCAAATCGCGGCGACGCAAACTCACCGAACGCTCTGGTCAGACACCCATCCCGCGTCGCACTGGTCCAGCCCATCCTCGAAGGCCGCCTGCAGCTGCTCGGGGGTGACGATGTGGGCGTCGATGTCCCGGCACGCGGCACGCGCGGCCTCGAACGTGAGGCTGTAGCGGCTGCCCGGGCCCCGGTAGTGGAAAACCACGCCTGGCCGGGCAGAGCGCATGCCGCACGATTCAATCGGTCGATCGCTCGGTCAGCGAATGAGCAAAGTCAGCGGTCAATCGCCTGCGGTCTGCTTGCTCCTTCAACGGAGGAATGCCAAAACTATGGCGAGCTCTCTCCTCTCTCCTGACGAGCAGACCTCGGCTTTGGCATTCAGCTCCTGAACATATTGCTGCTGTCGTCGTCGTCATCATCATGCGCAAGGATAACATTCGTGCGTGCTAGTGTCAATCCGTCATTTGTTCAGTCTGTCTACGTAATTGGTCATGCAGGCAAAGAGTCGAACATGCAATTGGTCTGTCAATTAGTCAATTGATTAATCAGTCAATTGATTAATCAGTCAATCAATCATCGTCTCTTCCTTCCAATATTAGGAAGCCACTGGCACTATGCACTTTAAAACTAAATTGAAAACTCATTTCTTTGGAAATTGCTTTTTATCTTTAGTTTGTTGTCCTTCCTCCGCACCTCTGATTAGCATGGTTGGCTATACGTACGGTGCGAAAGAAGTTCAACATACAAACATACAATCATTCAGTCACTGGTGTTGGTCGTGAGCGGGAATGGAACTTGGGTTGCCGGGTTCGTAGCGCAGCGCGCTAACCGCTGCACTACCACTTTCCTATATATAAACAAGACAAAGATCGCCCGTATAGCCTGAAGCAGACTGTAGGGGCAAGTGCTGTTAGCGAGCACCTATGAAGGCTGCCACTGTGGTGCACGACGGGGTGGGTGGGCAGCACCACGCCCGACCACCTTTGTCTCCCCAGTGGCGATGTTTACACAATAGCACGCACACGCATACACGAACGCACATACACACATATAAGCACGCACACACACACACGTGGACCGTTCTCAACGCTGTACACATGCAGCTTTTGACAAAAGTCGTTTTATGCGGTTTTCTTATTTAAAAATTGCCTTTTGCCCGTCCAAGGACGGGTGTGTTGCAGTAAATATGAAACTTGCAAGTGAGAAGCAGACCGCGACGTGATGTGCATTGCATTAATGCGTGTGCAGTTTGTAAGGGCGTGGTGACACAGACCTATTTCATTTAAAGGTTATAATCCCTTAGTTCATCACGACGTCCTTTTTACTTTGATGTCTCAACAACAGCGTTACGGAGATCACGTGATGACGTGAGGGTTCTGTCTTCGTAGTGAGGGCTGTGAGTTGACGCCGAGGAGGGGGGAGGAGGCGCCTCGCCCCCCCCCCCCCGCCATGTGGAGTGACGTCACCCGCTAATTAATATTAATGTAGGGGGTGTACATTTGGAGGACGTCACATGTTCATGATTATTAATGAGGGGGTTCCCCATGCGGAATGACGTCACCCGCTCAGCATTATTAATGTGGGGGGCTGTTTGATGTGGAGTGACGTCACTTGCTCATGATTATTAGCGAGGGAGGGAGCACGACGAAATCACCGATCAGAGATTTGCCCCCCATATATGGGATAAAGTGGGCGCGGCGTGTCTTTGCCCATATATGGTGAATCGAGGTGAATGGTTTCGGTTCAGCTCGGACGATCCCCAGTCGCTCAAAGTTGATCGGGCAGCAAAATGGACAAGGTTGATTCATTTGGCAATCGATTTGATTGGCAAGCAATACTTGGATCGAGTAGTCATGTGACATGCCCCCTTTACTTGATTGGCTAATATCAGCGAGATCGGTGATTCCGTCACAGTCCGCTTTTATTGTTGCACAGCGCCACGGTGGCGAGATGTTAACTACCACACCTGGCATACACGGAGGTCGTGGGTTCGATGCCCACCCTGACGCTTATTTTATGTATTTGGAGTTTGCATGTTTCTCGCCCCATGGCCGCATGGATTTTTCTCCGGGTCCTCCGGTTTTCCCCTCCACATTTAGAATCAACATTACGCGTTTAAGAGTATTTGGCTGCTATAATTGTCAACATGATAAGCCACTTCGTTGGGATCCAACCCACGACCTCCTGTATACCAGGCGAGGTAGTTAACATCTTGCCACCATTTGCAAATGATGAGACCCAGAAGGTCAAAACCAGCTCTCACACTGCACCCAGTGCTGGATTAAGCTAGTGCGGGGCCTGTAGCATTTGATGTTATAAAGGGGCCCAAAATAAAAAAAAAAAACGTAAATATAAAAACACATTTTTTCCTTGCATAGTAAAGTAATTGTATTTTTTTTATTTGCTATACAACCAGATAATACGCCAAATCGCTAACCTTAAACACCCAGTCGTTCATAAAAGTTGAAGGCGGTATCGTACTATAGTAATAGAGCAAGTGCAGAATCACTGAACCGGAATTGATAGCTTGAAAGCATTTAGCGCGAGGCCCTTGAAAATGCGGGGCCCGTAGCATATGTAGCTACTTGTGCTACTGGGATAATCCGACACTGACTTACGTTCTCACGCCGCTCAACATAATCGCATTCCCCCCAATCTCAATCAAGGAATGCGACACCGATGCAACGCGAATGATAACCGTGAGCTAATCGCCCATAATTGCGCGCGCAATCTCGTCGAATGCTTTGCAGCTAAAGCTCGAGGCTTGAGCCTGGACAGTGCTTGGATCGGTGGGCACCTCACGCAAAAGGACGGGCACAGTAAGGGGGTTGTGGGCAAGTCGAGGGCAGTGCAGCCAAATCCATTGCTGTATGTACATGATGTTGAACTTCTTTCGTGCCGTACGTAGCCAACCGCACTAATTGGGGGTGCGGGCGGGGGGGGACAACACATTTAACTCAGAACGCAGCTCTAAAGAAATGAGTTTTCAATTCAGATTTAAAAGTGCATAGCTCCCAGTGGCTTTCTATGCTGTACCCTGCCTACCTTCACCTGCCTGCACCGGCCGGCGTGGTGAAGTATGGTCAAAATATCCCCCACGGACCGCAAGGAGTGGGGAGGCCCTCCTCCAGGAGTGGGATGGTCAAACAGGTACAAAATAAAGCTGTTATGGAGGTACACGTTGTGCGTAAGTTTCGGTGTCCATTCAAGAAGGGAGCATGACTGAGCTTTGAGAGGCAGTGGAGGGGAGCCGTGTGGCGATAGTGATGGGAGACACTGCAACAGTGGTAATACAAGTGCAGCACAGCAACCTGTGGTGCCTATAACAGCATGGGGCTACCACAGATACGCATCGGGATGATGTTCATATACGGCACCAATCCACCTATCGTGCATCGGTGGCAAATTGGCGCGCTGCAGGACACAGACGCTTTTTTTTGTTGATTAAGGCGGACTCGTTACAAACAAACAAAAAAGCATTGTCGATGTCCCGTCGTAACGAATGTGCAATTAACCACAATGCAAACCCCGGATCGACTACAAAGTCAAATAGGTGGAGTGAGCACGGGGAAGGTTTGCATTTTCTATCGGAATAAATCGATGTCGGTCTGAAAGCAAGGGCGTGATCAGGACTCTGGGATGAATGTCGAGTCGGAGAACGGTTGCAGGATACCAGGCAGAGGGAGATAACATTCAGCAGTGGATAGATCATGGCTGATTTTATGGTGGTGGTGGTGGTGGTGAGTGAATTTCAAACATGCGTGGGACGTAATTATTGGAGGTGCATTTTGTTCCAACGTCAACAGGAAGAGTGGCTGTCCAAAAAGCAAATAATTCTTCCTCAATGTTTATAATGCTGTTCTCAGTCGCACGCTCATTTTCCAAGCTAGCCGTAAATGGTAATTTTGAAGCTTCCCTTTTCGGGAAATATAGGCACTGTAATTTTGGTAAAATATATTAATATTGATCTTGATTTGAAGCTTTCGTGACTGCAGGAATCCATACTCTTTGGTTCTTTCGGTAAAGTCACGTAGGTAGAAAAATTAAAATAAATCACGACGTTTCGGGCACAACACAAGCGTCCGTCATCAGGTGGGAAAGCGGACGCTTGTGTGTTGCGCCCGAAACGTCGTGATTTATTTTATTTTATACCTATGTGACTTTACCGATAGAACCAAAGAGTATATTAATGTTGGTATCCAGAACTCCTTGAATTGCATTCTAATGGTTTTGGAATACTGTTGCAATCAAATTAATTAAGTCAAATAATGAACGAAAACATCATCTTCGCAAGCGATCGTAAAGTGGGTTAAAGGGTGGGGGGGGGGCAGTCACGTGACACGGGAATGTCAATACGAGCGGTCGCCAGGGTCACGACGCTAATACGAAAGGTCAAGCTGCAAATGAGCTGTCAAATCTCGGGAAAATGTGCTGGCGTGGATATTTAAAGACTGCTAGATCGCGAAGCCACATTTTAAACGAAAGAACTATGATTACATTCAAAATTGTCCAGGGAACTGTCATACTCTTACCCTCTTTATATTCAGCGTTTTGTATTTCTCGCTTCCCACCACCCACTCCCCACCAATTAGGGTATATGTTATCATGCTCTCACGGTGCAAAGTGTCATTACATTTCCAGATCCAAAAAAGTTAAAGGTGCAGCCCTGCAATTTATCACCCACGCCACTGGCAGCGGATGGGTGCCTCCATATTGAGGAAGCTCCAGAGAGGGCCCCCTCGAGATGGTCCTTTATTTAACCCACTCTTCCACGCTGGATAGAAGTCTTTGAAGAGGTGGGGAGGGAGGGGTGGTACCAATATTTTACCCCACCACAAGCAACCTGCCGATCGACTAACTGCCCCAAACAAGATAGCAGCTATCACATGTCACGTTATCGAATGGGCAAGTCAGCAGCCAGCATAATAAAAAAAATGATTATAGAAAATGTTTTTTTCATCATCTGCTGGTAAGACTCAGAAGATCGAAGCCAGTCCTGGGTTTGCTGCTTAAATGGATACTGCTGGAACACATTGGTTCAGGAGGAGCATGTGTGAATAGCGATCTATTTATTTATTTATTACAGGCCACCGTCTGCTGATGAGACTCAGAAAGTCGAAGCCAGTCCTGGGTTTGCGGCTTAAATTAATACTGCTGGAACACATTGGTTCAGGAGGATCATGTGTGAATAGTGATTTATTTTTACCAAGTAAAAATGGGCCATTTGTCTTAACTATGTGCCTGACACACGTCCCGGGTCTCTCTAATACGGGAACAAAGAAGTGTTGTGAGCTGTGCACACAATTGGGTGGTTAAATCTGTGCCGCTCTGTCAAATAAGCACTCAAAATCTGGGCTTTGCCAAATTTAGGGTAAAACAATTCATTGTACAGTCATAATTGCCAAATTGAAACCACGCGTACTCCCAAAGATATTGAAAACACATGTTAATTTTTTAGTGGTTAGCCATTAGACCTGCAAATGACCAAATTAAATAGAAACTTATTTTTACATTTAATATTAAATAATAACGATACTTTATTTTTTCAAATAATGCCTTGCCAAGTCTCGGTGGTATCCCTTTTCAGAAGGGCCCTACTTGGGATATTTGGCCAGTTGCATTCCGTGTTTTTATGTTTGTACCTTGACACAGACTTCTTTCAAAGTGTCTTTTACCTTCCTCTAAATAAATCCGCAAATTCTTGAACGTACGCATCATGTACGTTTGTCGAACTTCTTTCGCACTGTACGTAGCCAACCGTGCTAATCGGAGAAGGTGCGGACGATTGGCTGGCTGGTGACTGGACTGAAATCCGTAGGCTTTTTTTGCTTGGGATATAAACCCGGGATGTCAGCGAGGGCGGTTTGGTGGTTAGACACAGGCACAGCATGAGCTGGAGCCAGCACGTCACTTCTAACTTTTGTGTTTCCTCAAACGGCAAGTGTCCATGAGGTGCCTTTCAGCGAAGTCATTACGAGTGGCAGGACGAGGCAGGCACGAGGAGCAAAGTGTGCAGAGATGGTGTTTCGCAGTGCAGCGCGATCGGATCTCGTCGTACCTTTCAGGTTGCTCGCGTAGACCGATGCGCACAGCGTGAAAAGGAAACCTGCCGTGAGTGTTGCTTTCCTCATTGCAGCCTGGGTTGGGAGTTTGGAGCGGGGGACAAAAACACATACAGGTGAGTAACAGCTTCTGTCCACGTGATCCTGCATCGATTTGGGTTACCCCGTTGTCAAGCCATTGCTGAGTGCAGGCCTAGCCCCATGCCGTGTCAGCTTGCCGGGGCTTGTACGATGATGCATCACCAACAACTGTTCACTGCAAGAGCAGTTCAGGAATCGCTCGCCACTTTTGTCAGCCCTGGCCGGGAATCACACTCGGGTAGCTGGATTGATAGCACAGTGCTCTAACTACTGCGCCATCGCTCCACGCATATTTATGGTATTTCAAATGCTGCACGTTACTGCCCACCATACTAGCCAGGTGGCAATGTGATTGACGAACTTGAGTCTAGACTGGCAAATGGAAGGTTGGGAGTTCAAATTCCAGTTAGGAATGGACACAACTATGTTGTCCCTCCACAGGTGGCGTGCATATAGAGATACTGGTCTATGGTATGGGAATGTGGAATTAACATCGCTGGCTCAGAGCCACCGATGGAGGTGTGGCTCCCTGCTCAATTCTTGTTTTAAATGTTAAACCAAACGTACAAAAAATCTAATCCTTTTAGTAACAAAAAACACCCCCTTTCCCGCCTGTCATATTTCGTCGTGTAATCTATTCACAAAATTCTGATCATGGCCATTTTGAGAGGACACGGGACCTTCCACGAACCGCCGCCATCTTGAATTCCCACCTCTGCTTTACCCAGTGTTTCTGCCTCAGGTGTTCATAGATTCCACCAAAAGGTGGCCGCACTGAATTGTTGACGTCCTGTGGAAGGGGACTGCACGTGCACCGAACGGTTCTGAGGCGTCTGCATGTGTGTAGCGTGGTTGAAACGCCAACAATGTTTACAGGAACTGGTCCATGTTTACTCTTTGGATCGTCTTCTACTTTGGATCGTCTTCTACTGAGTACTCCGAGGTCAAGGCTCTTTTACCGGGGTCATCGGGCTTTTGCCAGTGCAGCTCCCAAGCTTTGTAACGATTTGCCTTTGCTCATGATACAATCAGAGTCGTTAGAGCTATCTAAGTCCCGTCTTGAAAAGTGGCCTCTTTAAGCTGGCCTTTAGCCCCGAGTTGTAGCCGTTTGCCCTGCAGGTTCTGTTTATTTCCTGGCTTTCCATACACGGTGGCGCATTGGAATCTACTGATTCAATGCGCCTTACAAATGTAATTTTTTATTATTATTATTAACAAAGTCACAGCAGCAGTTTCCCCCGACAGTAGGCACGGTGCATGAGGGTTACATTTTGTGGTTATGATCATGGGACACCATCACAAAAATGGCTAATTATACAAATTACTGTTCGTCAGAATGTGATTTTAGGTTGAACCGTGGCACATGGAGCGAAAGTCCAACAATCGTGCTGAACACCAACAGCAGCCGCCATTCGTTACTAAGTGGCGGTGACGTTGCCACAGTGTTTGCGCCAGGCCAAGTGCACTCCGAGGCCACGTGAAGTGTCGAAGGCCGGCTGGCAGAAGGTCATGGGAGAGACCCAGGTGTCATGGGTTGTATGACTGAGATGACTGGCAGACGCATCACCTGTGCCCCCTACTAGGACAACTCGGTGCATTTCATCTGCCCCGGCACTCCACTCATTGTTGTGAGCATCTTCTGGTCCGCCCTCCACTGTTGTTGGAAGGCGTCTGCCTACCAGCAACAGGGCGACTGCCTCCAACTGCCCAGCAGCGTCCCTCACGAACCTCCTCCATGGAGGCGGATCTTGACACCGAACAACACGCAGTGCAACCCGAAAAACGCACAGGGAGAGCCACACAGCAGGACAACCGCGAAAAGACCCCCACGCAGTAATGTCTATAAATATTCACTTCACAGCCAATGTCATGTTACGGTTCCTCATAGATATGACCAGATGGTGGTGTCATTATTTGAGCTGCAAACCACGGGAACCCTGGCTCTGTGCTGCGCTTGCAGAACACAAAGTCTATCCCGACCAAAGATACAGAGCATGGCCAAACTCCCCGAACGTAGTTCTCAAAGTGCTGCGCATTTCATAAGCTTGACAAAGTCATTAACAACGCACAAAATTAGCCGTCGAAAGCTGTTTAAAAGACTGCCTAAGCTATTCAAATAGCGCATCAAGGGGGTAACTGGTGGGAAGGGGGTGTAGGGTTAGTGTGCCCATTATAGGATACCTCCTGCAGAGTCAAAAACACACATCGCGTGTATAGTTAATGGCTCTGTAGCAGCTGCTACAATAACGGTGCAGGTGAGATGACTGCGTGTGAATCGTTAGAAGCATCTTGACTGAAAGCTTTCGTGACTGCAGGAACTAATATTCTTTGGGTCTTTCGGTAAAGTCACGTAGATAGGTTCAAATTAAGAATCCGATGAGCTGTGAAGCTCGTTTTCACAATTTACAAGGAATATGGGACTTACTTCTTTGGAAACAGTGGCTGTGAATCCATATTCGGTGAGATTGGCGGTTTTGGGGGCCGATATTTGTGGCTGAGAACGAATTGCGTTTACAGAAATTGCACCGTGAGATTGTTTTTTTTTCCCCTCCGAAATGGGTGGCACTTTAGTTGGAGCACCTATTTTATTTATTGTACATTCAAGAGCGTCGCTAGTTACTGGCCCCATGATCAGGAAGAAAAGAAAACAACAAAAAGGAAGTTCGTGGGTGCCAATTCCAGTTGTGAATGCATTGAAAGTGACAAAGAGTTACTGTTGAAGGGCCTGTAATTGAAAGATTGTGCGACTTTCGATTTGCATGCCCGCGAAGGTGGCAGCTTTAAAAAATATATAACATGAGCAAATACGCGCTGCTTCATGCATTGTCACTTGACGATGCGTGCCCCTGCTGAATGGCGAGCGCGGAACGCCTGCGTCATCGCTGCACGTCACAGTAACGCATTCAGTGGCTCATTATGAAATAAATCGAGCATTGTGACATTGCTTTTTTTTTTGTAAAGCGTGCAGCTTCCTTGGGTGTTTTTTTTTAATTCGCCAATTTAGCGTTCAAAAGTGTCTTAAATTTGTGTTGTTGTTGTTGTTCTTGGTTCTTTCGGTAAAGTCACGTAGAAGGGAAACAATAAAATAATAAAAATTTAAAACAATAAAATTCTCACGACGTTTCGACTGCAACACAAGCAATCATCATCAGGTGTGAAAACTCACAAACTCACACCTGATGATGATTGCTTGTGTTGCAGTCGAAACGTCGTGAGAATTGTATTGTTTTCATCATCAGGTGTGGTTTTCACACCTGATGATGATTGCTTGTGTTGCAGTCGAAAAGTCGTGAGAATTTTATTGTTTTATATTTTTATTATTTTATTGTTTCCCTTCTACGTGACTTTACCGAAAAAACCTAGAATATGAATCCCTGCAGTCTTGAAAGCTTTAAATCAAAATTTGTGTTGTTGTTGTTGTTGCCTTTCTCTCTCACCTCCGATTAGCTAGGTACAGTGCAAAAGAAGTTCAACATACGTGCATAATTCGATACTTTTACCTATGCAGACCTATTTAAATCAAGACCGTGCAATGTTGAATGGAATCCCATATTCTATACGGAATGCTGTTGCCAATAACATCGGCCGAGAGTGGCTCCGCTGATTAGACTCAAAATATTAGTCTGCAAAGCCGGTTGTAGGCTGGTGGACACATTGTTTGTTAAATGTGTATATGAAAACATGTACTGTAATGGAGTTATGCTTATATTTTAGCAAGGCAAACATTGGTAAATTTGTGTTACTTTCACCTCTCGTGGGTCGGAGGTCAATATTAGTCCAAAATTGAGTGAAATCAAGTGTCCATCGTGTGGATAGACTGGCCCTGGCTATGGTCATGCGGGTCACGTACGCCAATGTAGTTAAGTACCGTCCTCTAGCCGCGTCTGAGCCAGGGAGGGCACTGCGACGTTGCCTGGGCACCAGGAGGATTTCGTGGTTCAGTCAACGATGCTCTAGAATTTAATATTTGTCCCCCCTCTGTTGCTGATGTTAAGTAAATGTGTACAATTGAACAACTCGTGGAATTTAACCCAAGTGAATAGTGCAGTTCACTTACCACTAAATAATACCCCAAAGACAATAAACAAGATAAAGGTAACCCATGAAGCTTACATATACTGTTGAGGAAAGTGCTCTTAGCAAGCTCCTATTAAGGGTCAGCATGGCACATGAGTGAGTGGTGTAGCTAGCACCACGCCCGGCCATCTTTTATCTCCCCATCGTGGATGATGTCACACTTCAATGGGTGCTGACTGAGGCTAGGTCGACCCAGGGGAGGCTTAGGAGCAAATTTTGATATAATTCGCCAGTGATGTTGGTACACCCCACACGTATGCACACACACTTGGCTGTCACACCCCAAAGACAAAAACCCCCACTATAGCCTTAACAGACTGTTAGGGCAAGTGCTGATAGCGAGTAGCATCTATGAAGGCCGGCACGGCGGCAAACGAGGGGTTGGCAGACACACACAAAGACAAAGATCCCCTGTATAACCTTAACAGACTGTTGGGATAAGTGCTGTTAGCGGGCACATGTGAAGGTCGGTACGGCACACGTGGGGGTGGGTGGCCAGCACCACAAACATTCCCCATTCGCCTTATGGATGAGTGCAAGTGTCGCTCGCAAGCTCTGGTCCCAGTCAGAAATGGATGGTGAGGCCAGCATCATGCTCAGCCACCCTTGTCCCTCCAGCCCTGACATACACACACATAGGGGTGGTGCTGGCCCATTGGCAGCCCAATGTATGCATGCACCTTGACTTTCTTTCGCACCATACGTAGCCAACCGTGCGACTCGGAGGTGTGGCGGAAAATGCAGCCGTTGTAGTATTTGTCTGCTATAAATGTTCACGTGATGATCCGGCACTTATTTGAGCTGTCATTTTTGGCCAGGTTGCGTCTCAAAAAGAGCTATCTAGCTCAGTGGGCCTTACCTGGTAAAATAAAAATAGTTAAATAGTTTCAATGATGTTTGTGTGTCCCCTTTCAGTG